TATACTCGATTAGTTTCTCGTTTTAACTCGCTAATAAAATTCTAGCATAACTAGCACGCGATTTAATAAAACGCAAAGGAAAATAAAACCACCGACTAAATAAATAAATAAATAAAAAAAAGAAAAAAAAATAGAAAACGAGCCACTATAAAAAGATTTATAATCGAACCGCCGCGAAGATAAAGCAAGATGTAGGCGAAAAGTATGTGCCGAAGATGTAACCTGTTGCTCTCAAAAGAAAGTATCGCGATTAATTATTAATATCCTCTTTACTAACAACTCGTTCAGAACAGGTTGTTGCAAGGCCTGTCCTGCGCTTCATTTTTTGTGATGATGGTCCTTCGACGGGTGAATCCTTCAACAACAGTATGGTATAGCGCGTGTATCGTCAAAAAATTGGGCCGCGTTTTGGCGCCGCGTTTCTTTCTTTTAGCGTTCAAATTTAAGGCTCCTTGATCCTCGCCATGTTGGATTGTGACGTTAGAGGCGAGAAAATGCGCGCTGAAAATTTTTGCGTGCCCTTTGTAGATAAAAAGATATTACAATGAATCAACACTACAAAATCCTTTGGCACACTCATCAAATTGTCCAAAAACTATCCTTTTTCCTTGACAATTAATCAACAGCCGTAAAATTGCCTCATATTTCAGTCATTTTCTCGCTTCTGACGTCTCGATTTCGACATGGTCGATGAGGATCAAGGAGGGCTTTTTAAATGGCCCGCGAAATCGAGCCCTCCAATCGAATCGCGTGCACGTGACTCTCGTCAGCGAAGGCGCGAATTCAAAAATGTAATAGTAATAATGACGCTAAGAACGTGCGCCGAGAATGCGGTGCGTTTTTGTCTTAATTCGAATGTACGATGAACAATGTGAACAATTCGACACGGAAAACGTGATCCGTAGCGATTTTTTTCTCTTTCCTTTCCTCTTTTTTTCATTTCCAAATTTTTTTATTGAGACTCGTACGCGTGTATGTATGTGCGCTTGTCTGTGAGAGTGGATTTTGTCTTCTTTATGGTGAGAATCAAGAGAGAAAGTGTGTGTGTGAGAGAGAGAGAAATTATTGTACATCGCTAAATTATGTACATTTATATAATGAAATCCAACTTGCGAAGCAGAAAAAGAAACATGTATGCGAAAAAGAAGGAACTTTGCGAGTTCCAACATCGTCCTTTGGATTGATGCGAACAAACATATAGTATTAGGACATAAGACGTGAGAAATTAAGCAGTCAAATTAAAATTAGTCCATTTTTGTAAGACTAAAAAATCGAACTTACACATTTTGCATTTTATGAATTCAATTCTCTTTAATATTTGGCAAATATTTTGTGTTCCAATACTTCTCATCTAAGACAATAGATTAGATATCTAAATAAAATTTGAGAAAAAATGGCTGCTTAAAGATATAAAGAAATCACGTGGAATATCAGAAAACGATGCTCCTTAAAATTAGAAACAAATTTAAATAAAATAAATTGTATGTGTAAACAATCACAGCTGAATGTAAGAAAGTGAAGTAAATGTGAAATGCGATGTAAAATGCGAATGTGAGAAATTACAAAGAAACCTTTTAGAATAGCGTAGCTACCAAAATCGTGCACTGTTCGAAACGAAACTAGAATCAATGCGATGTAACTGAATCTTCTATTTCTGAACTGTTCATGAAATATTGTGCAGTCGAACAGAATGTTATTCCGAAAAAATATGTGCGATCAAGATTTTTTGTAATTGACTCGTTACATTGATCTAAGAGAGTGTTTGCGTGTGTTTGTGTGTGTGTGTATTTATGTTGGTAAGATGTGGCAATATAAAAGGCAGAGAACTTCACAAATGCGCATAAATAATATACATATAATATTTTATGATTATAGATATTTATATATAATTTTTCAAAAGCCACTTGGTCATTTCTGGACAAATATATATTTACCGAATTTCATCGATCGAATTTAGTTTCAAAAGAGTGATCACTTACCAAGTGTGATTTGAAAGAATCTAGAAATTTAAGACTTCGCGATATATACATATATACATATACACAATGCTGTACTTTGATTTTAGTCTATGTCTATACAATTCTTTTTCTTCCTCAATTTTTCGATGCGTACGAGAGATGTAGAGTTATCACACAATTTCACCCATTTTTATTTTCAATTTTCTGCACAAGTGTATAAAAAAACAAATTTCCATACAATATTAAACTCTAAACATGTCCAAAATTGGAACATAAGACGTCTTTAAGATCTCTTCAAGATGTCTTTCAAATATCACATGAAAAAACTTTTTAAAAATGTCTTAAAGATTTTTCTAAAGAACTTCTAATGCCCAAATTTTGGACATAATACTTTTTCTACATTCTCAAATCGCTGACTTCTTCGAAAAGATTACTTATTCTGCAACTATGAGGAGAGAGAGAGGGAGACATGTTATAATTTGTTGTGATTAAACAATTCACAGAAGAAAATTCTAACTAGTCAGATTTTGTATGCTTTATAACGCATAAAAACATTTTCAACATCGCATCTCAACAAGACCTGCCGTTTTTTTTTATGGCGAACGAATTTCGAAAGTCAGTGATACAGTTGGCCACGAGATATGATTTGTAATGTTTTTGTGAGAAATAGTCATGAAAAATTGAACAATTAAAACTCCAAATAAAAAAACGATAAACTTGACATTGGAAACAAAGTACCTGTTAAAATTAAAAATGAAAAAAGAAAAAAAACTAGCCTTTAAACTTAGAATTATTTTTATAGAGTTTTATTTTTACATTTATATTTATATATATAATATATATATATATATATTTATATATATATATATATTTTGCGGAAAATTGCGAACTCGAATAAAATTCTAACTGTGTCAATTCTTGCAAAAACATTATGAATTATTGCAGCAATTTTGCTAATTATAGATTCACTACTTTGCTTGATACAATCAAATTTGCTACAAGGGTGATATTGCTATATATAATACAAACAGAAAAAGGGAGTTAAAATAATTATAAAATACATTTTTTTATGTTTCGATAACACTTGTACTTGATGTAAAAAACGTAAAAAAAAATACTAAAAAAAAAGCGAAGATAGATAACAAAATTTCCTGATTGTAAGTGATTTGAAATCCAGTGGTTTATTCGATTTGTTTTCACGGCCAAAGAGAGGTGGAATCCACGAAATGGTGAGAATAAGAAGTGTCTGGTTTATTTTTTCCACCATGACATATGTATTTCAGAGCGACAAGTACGATAGTATAATATTATAAAATGTGTATGTATGCGATACAACAGTGTGGCTGCGTTTTAGATATGCGTGAGTTATATATGAGAGATGTTTGAGGAAAAACCGAGCATTGAATGATGAGTTCGTCGTACGAATCGCTTATAAATCGATCGAAAAGGAAAAAGAAAGAAGAAAATAAACATGTTTGTGTTTGTTGCTGTAAGCGAGAGAGAGAGAAAAAAATATACATTTGTTACATTGTATTACGGACGCAAAGGAAGAAGAATTAGCGCGAAGCGATGTTAAGTATCAGGCTCTATATTCAGATTCTCTTCTGTAGGTTTCATTAAAGTGCATTTCTTGTATGTTATTACAGTATTACAGTAGAACATAAGAAAAATAAACGAATGCAATAGTATGTAAAATGCATTTGTCTTCTTTGCCTATTGCAAATATATATATATATATATGCCTATATATACTCTACTGTTATATAAAATAATAAGAGAAAAAGAGAAGAGAATTTTTCAGAAAATATTTCTGATTTTTCTTTTTTTCTTTTTTCTTTTCTTTTTTTGAAGAGCTTTTGAATCTCTTTGTCAAGAATGTGCTGATCGAGATTGATGTTATTTTAATTATTATAATTAAAAACATTGATTTGTGATGTGATGTACTTTATTTTGAAGATTTTTCCCAACTTGGATCTCGTCATTTCATTAAAAGTGAGTATTTTTTATAAAAATATTGTATGGTTTTTTATTTTTAGAAAATTATTCAATTTGTAAATTCTTAGATAATTTATAATATATATACATCTTTGGAATGTAAAATATTGCAAAAAGGAAAAGAAAACTAATAAAATCTAATTATACAATACAGCATATAATTGCATAAAATTATAATTTTGAATGCAACAATTACAGATAATTAAAAATAAGGCGTCTCAGAAATAAAAGCCATGAGAGTTTGAAAACAAAAAAAAAAAGCAGAGATAAATTGACCCACAAAATTAAATTAAAAATTTAATTAAAAAAATAAAGATAAATTAATAAGAATATTATTAACACGAATGCAATATTTATAAAAAAAACTATAATGTTTAATGAGAATAATAAAATCGCGAATCTAATTGGCTCCGCCATGTTGTTTCTACCTTATCGAGTAAATGCACAATGCATCTTAGCATGACGAAATATCTCGATAAATTTCAATGAAGAACAATTTATACGCGTTTGCGATACAAAATTATTTGACATTTAAATTTTAATAGACTAGAAAGATACGTCATCAGTTTCACACGGAAGAATTATTTTTCTTCGAAATATTGATTAATTGCATATTTTTTTTGATAAATTAAAAATATAATATATAATATAAAAATTATATATTATATAATTATATAATATATAATATAATAACCCAGGCAGCAAACTGACGTCATTAAACGTCATTTTGACGTTATTAGACGACAGAATGACGTCAGTTTGTTACTTGAGAATTATATAATAAAAATATATTTTCTTTGGTAAATTAAAAGTATAATATAAAATTTAAATAAATTTCAATTTAAAATTATAAAATCTGTGCCTCTTAAAATTTTGCTGCTTAGTAAAAAAATATTCGAGATCTCTATCTACATTATTTTGTTAAATATAGCGCCTTTCGAGTCGACCAATGAACGAAGAGAAGCCCCTCTTATTTATTACTGCATCTATGAATCTTGTTTCCATCGTATCAGCTCGTTATTGGCTATCTTATCGTTTAAAATTTCACCGACATAAATACATATCGTCTATATATACCAACCCGTTCGTGTAGCCGCACGTCAGCGATTTTTCTGCTTTTGATTAGTCGTGTCGTGATTCAGCACAGTTCGGTTTTTTAATTCTTGCATAATCCGAGCTGTCGCACAGTCTGTCGCCAACTATTCGTCCATCGAGGCTTCGACGATCGAGAGAAAATTCGCAAAATGACGATCAAGGCGGTCTGTGTCCTTCAAGGCGAACCTGTTAAGGGAACGGTGTTCTTCGAACAAGCGGTATAAACTTTAGCAAATATATATATCTTAGAGAAGTTTCTGAATCATTTCTGCCACGATTTTCCCCGCAAATTATTTATTCACACTTATTGCGCGTTTATTTATCTCAAATGAAAACATGAAAAATAATGTGCGCATTTTATATATAATATATATAACTTGAGGTATTAAACATTTTTTCATACATTAATTATGTTAAATAGTTTATATTTTCTGATTGATCATTTTTGAAAATGTAATCTTAGGTGATTTTAAATTATTGTCGCTTTGAATTTTTATATAGATTAAAAAATAATTATTTTCCAATTATTTTTTTCTTTTCCGATGTGTGATAAACTTGATTTGCATTACAGGAGGGTTCAAATACAGTGAAGGTGACTGGAGAAGTTTCCGGCTTGCAGAAGGGTTTACACGGATTTCATGTTCATGAATTTGGCGATAACACTAATGGTATATTTCACATACAAGAATATTCAGATATATTATTTGAATAATTTTGTATATGCTTTTCTTGCAAAATCAGAGTAGAGTATTTTGTAATTTCTTAAAAAGAATCAATTTAAAATTTAAAGTTATTGTGAAATTTTTAACTCTGCGCTTCAAATTTCAATCTTGTTAATTTTAGAGAATTTTAGTATTCTACTTCTCAAATATTAATTTATTTGGCAATAAAATTCTATTTTTTTAAGAATTGATATTTTGTTTTTGCAGATACAGTATAATATTTTGCAAAATGCAAACTTTATATATTTCAATAAGAGAAAAATGAGGATACTTGATTCTTATTTCTATTTTCAATAAATTGTAATATACTATTTCTCTTTTTAATTAAAATATAAGTATAGAATGTATCCAATATAATGAATTTTTTTGCAGCGGTATAAATTGATAGGAGGTAAACTGTTATGTAACATTACGTAAAAATTATAAGGTACATAGGTTATCTTGTTTGCACTTGTAATTTTCTTATAACAGTTTATTTATAGAATTATGGGTCTTATCATCTTACAATTAATCAAGTTATTTTTTATGAAGTCACATATTATTTGAGAAAAAATATATATGATATTAATATCTCTTTCTTTTTGATAATGGAGACAGAGGGTAGAGAGTATATGATATCTGACATATGTATTATACTGTTGCTTTTTTTAATTTTTTAACATATGTCAAGTTAACTTTTTTCTATCCTTTATTTATGTTAGATTATAACTTTATTTTGAGATATATTTAATCAATATTAAATTAACTTTATGTCAGATTGTATTTTATTTTATTTTATTCAAATAATTATTAGCTTATTTCTATAGTTTATAAAACAAATTTTAAATATCTTTATGAGATATATTATTTATTCAATATTAAATGAACTTTATGTGAGATTGTATTTTATTATTTTATATTTTTTATTTTATTTTATTCAAATAGTTATTAGCTTATTTCTACAGTGTATAAAACAAATTTTTGTTTATTGTCTTTTTCTAAAAATGATTGCGTAAGCTTTTTACAATCTTTGAAATCCAAATTATAGTACATACGTGTGTTTATACAGGTTGTACAAGTGCAGGGGCTCATTTCAATCCATTGGGAAAAGAACACGGTGGTCCGACCCACGCTGAGCGCCACGTTGGAGATTTAGGAAACGTGGAGGCTGGTGCTGATGGTGTCGCGAAGGTCAACATCACCGATTCCAAGATTCAGCTTAGCGGTCCGCACAGTGTCGTCGGACGAACTGTCGTGGTACGCGTCGGACTTTAATTTCTTTAGTCTCCTCGTCCTCCAGTTTGCGTCATTCCACATGTCATCCTCGTCTTCTTACATTGTTCTAGTTCCCATTTGTGTGAAGATACAATCAATCAAGTTTTATCGTTTCACACTATAATCACTTACATAAATTAAATTAAAAAAGAGAGAGAAATAGATAATTGCCATATTTAAACTTGCGCTAACAATAGATTAATCAAGCTTTATTATTTCACACTATAATTGCAAACTTAATGAAATTTAATTTAGTAGCACTTGAGAATAAAGTGAATTCACTATTTCAATTATACTTTATTCTCAAGTACTATCAATGCTAAATTTCATTAATAGATTATTTGTATTTAATGTATACATATAAGAAACGTAGAGTCATTAAGCATTGAAGTAAGTTTTGATGATTTCATCAGAGACATTTGCGCAGCTATAAGAATTCAGGCTCCTGAATCCTCACCGATTGTGACGTCAAAGGCAAGAAAGCACACTGAAAATTCTTAGATGCCATCTAGATCAGACTTGAGCCTCATGTTACAGTCACCTTATAGCTGTTAATTAATTATAAAGGAAAAAGGGTAGTTTTTAAGATATTTTAAGAGTGTGCTAAAGCTACCTGAAGTGTTATTTTATCGAAATATCTTTTTATTTTGGCATAAATGGCATCTAAAAATTTTTTCGAGGAGCAGGAGCCTTAACATATGCATATAAGAAATGTAGAGTCATTACAGTAAGTGCTCATCATTGAAGTAAGTGTTTTGATGATTTCATCAGAGATATTTGCGCAGTTATATCTCGGCTATAAGAATTAAAGAAAATTGTACAATATTTTATTGTGGCTAAGATATCCGTTTTCTCGCTAAATGTGGTTTTTTCTCCAATTTTCAGGTTCATGCTGATCCTGATGATTTGGGACAGGGCGGCCACGAGCTCTCGAAAACGACCGGCAATGCTGGAGCTCGTCTCGCTTGCGGCGTTATCGGCATCACGAAGTAAAAGTGGGTCGAACGTGATTTGTGCGAAAAAAAGAAGATGAATAGAGGTCTCTATTAAAGATATGTTATTTTTTTTTATTTTGCTATGGTGTATTTAGCCATTATTATGCATTATTTTTTTCTTTTTTCTTCGTTATATCAAACACAATAGAAGTTATCAGTTCTTCCTAAAAATATAAACTAACAAAGCGTTGAGCTTCAACCTATGCATGTTATTTGTTATACATTAAATAAGATAATACAAATGTAGAACACATTCCTTCGCAATATATAAATGTTTATAAATATATATCCTTTTTTTATTAACTCTAGAAAATCATATGACGATATGATTACGTATCTATCGATATCGCTTTAGTCATTCACTTGCATCAAAGTATATCAAAGTGTGCTATGTTAAATGAATATTTAGAAATTTTTTTTCCGGATTGACCCTAAATTACGAATCTTATCTGATCTTATCATCAACATCGATGATAATATTTTATCGATCGGTGACAAGACCAGAGGCCGCATCGCGAATACATATCAATTTTAGTGCGGTCTCTGATTAAAGTTGTGAGATTTACAAATATGTCATCGATCAATCCAGAAAACGGACCGAGAATCAGTTTTTACGAGAATGATTATTATGATGACAGCAGTTCAGAGGAAAATGAGGAAGAGGGGTATGTTAGTTGGATCTTCCATTTTTTGCTTGGACTATAAACGCGCTCTTGTAATAATCTAGAAATTAGTCGAAAAGTGTATGACTGGAACAGTTTAAAAAATATATTATTAACAATTTACTAATTTATTAGTACACATAATTATTTAAAATTGTAAATAAAAATGAATAAGTAATAAGTGTCGAAGATACAGGCTGTAGATCAAAAGCTTTTTAGTTCGCAGGAGGATGTTCCACCATGGGACATGTTTAGAAGCTTCCCCTCTCAGATAGAAAGCGGATCTGGAGAGAGTAATCGGTTTTTCGAGATTACCATTTATGTCTTAAAAGTGTTAATTTATGGATTGCTATTTATCATCGTTTTATGCAGCGGTATTGTGGCTAAAACTGCCGTCTTATTTGCAATCTCACAGTTGCAGAAGGGTAGTCATCTGTTGCCGCATTGCGATAATTCAGGTAGTTTTAATTTAATATGCAATTAAAAAAAATTTTTGTACACAATTGTGACCAAGAAAATTCTGACGTTTCGAAGAGTTCAAAATATTTAAAAGCTATTCAGCAGTCTCTAAAAAAAGTTTTTAATATATACACAATTTTGTATTGAAGTTATCAGTTTTGAAATTTAATTTTTTGTTATACGAAATTTTAAAATTAGACATTTAAAAGACTCAAAAATTTAATTAAAGGAAGCTGAATTAAGATTACATATATAAATGAAAAAAATTCTTTAGAGTGTAAACATAAAATTAATTATTTATTGAAACATATAATTATGCAAAGAAGTTTAAATTAAATACTATTTGCATAAAAATTTGGAGAAAAATAATTTTATTGTAATATTAATACTTAGCCCGATAATACTATCGGAATTTGGTCTTATCGTTAATTTATTATATTGCTATGCTATACAGTGTATCATTACATCATCATATTTTCTATTAATAATACACACATTTTGAAGCAAATTTATTTTTATCGCATACTCATTACGCAATATAAATATATATATAGTGTAAAATTTCTGATTTTCTTAGAGGGGAAGGAATTTTTCGAACATACGCAGGATGGCTACATAAAATGGACTTGGTGTCTGATTTTTATGTTTCTCGTACCGGAATGCATCGGCGTGTTAAACGCCTTAGGGCATTACTTATTCAAAAAGAAACCGAGGATGGCGAAAAAACGAAACATCCTGTTCATGATCTTGACAGATACTCTACACACGATCGGTTTGATCCTGTTAATTTTTGTCATCCTACCGGAAATCGAGGCGGTGCAAGGCGCCGCCATTTTTTGTTGTCTGTGTTTTGTACCGGGATTGTTAAGTAAGTTTGTAATTACTGGGTGAGATAACAAATGGCTCGATCAATCTATTATTAACACAAATTTAAACATGGCAATTATCAGTTTTTTCCATTAATTAATCAATTTAATGTATTATTTGTCGTTTTCAAATTTAATTAATTAAATTTATCTATTTTAAAAAACTTGATTTCTTATAATGATATATATATATATATATATATATATATATATATTATAATCAAGTTTTTTAAAATAGATAATTAATTAAATTTGAAAACGACAAATAATACATTAAATTGATTAATTAAATGGAAAAAACTGATAATTATATATATATATATATATATATTTTATAATGGTTGCTCGATTTGGAACAGTTAATAATAGATGTACATTTTTACTTCCGCCAATTGGATTTGGATTATTAATAATATTCTTTAGATTTATTCTCGCGAAATGATGAGACTCGAAATTTATCGACCTGCCAATCAAGATTATTCAAAGTTTTTGACGCTCTGGCCTTGTTATCACAAATTAGCGGAATGTTCTTGCCGCTTCAACATAACATTAACAAATCATCGACTTGGATCTTCCCCGTCGCTCTTATATTGTGCTCGATTCGTTGGTGGAGCAACTTTGTATCGGTTCATAGCAATATCGGTACGTACAAATGTTTTATATAAATGATAATTATTAGATTTTATAGGCGAGAAACTTCAGAACAGAACTTCAGCAAAAGAATATATGATTTGCATTTAAAAAAGTTAGGATCAAATTTATACAGTAAATTTATACAATTATAATTATCAATTTAGAACTGATTGAATATGCAGAACAGAGCTTCAGCAAAATAATATATGATTTGCATAAAAAAAAGTTAGGATCAAATTTATACTGTAAAATTTATACAGTAAATTTATACAATTATAATTATGAATTTAGAACTGATTGAACATACGGTTTCTTAAGAAACTCTTCTAATAGGTCTGCTACGATTCTTATACTCCATGAAGCGGGATCTCCAGCCGGGTCAGCAGATAGTGCAAGGATACGCGTCCCTTTGCAGGATATTTGTTTTTATCATCGGTGCCTTCGTCGTCAACGTCTGCAAAGGGATAGACGCCGCGAGCTTCTTCTCACCGACATTCACCGAAGAGTACAACATTACTCGGATTTCTCTTCCAAACGTGTCGAAGCATAAGGACTTCTGGTCCGTAGTTAGTTTGCTGCCCCTCTGCACCTTTGCGGTACAAGCCGTCTGCGCCATGATAATGTATCAATCTTGTAAGTTCACAGACGACAAAAATCATACAGATCCGTAAAATGCAAAAATCCAAAGAGTAACAGATTCATTTTGAAGTTGGATATCTTTATAACGTTTGAACTTTTAGAGGAATAAATGATTTCAGGCAAATTCGCCTACAGGACCCATATGCACCAGTTTGGTTTCGCGTTTCCGACGAGTCTGGCTGGTCTGGGAACAGTGCTCCTGATCATGGGACTTTGCGTCGCCAGGAACAACTGCGTCCTTCACGACTCGATGCCGAGTACGGATTACCTCTTCTTCAGAGAGTCTTGGTACGACTCTGAATCAATTCGTACGAATTGGAGCGCATTCTTCTCCGATTGGTACGTTTGGTGTTGGCTGCTGTGGCTGATGTCGCAGATATGGATCACGAGACATTTGTGGACCACCCAGAATGAAAGGCTGGCACTAGCGGAAAGGATCTTCTCCATCATCACTTACGACTCGCTTATGATTGAGCAGTGTTTAGCCTTGAACAGAAAAATGCAGAATGATAATGCTGATGAGGGCAATGAGGAGGAAAGCAAAGATGGCGAAATTCTAGTAAAGGATTGCACGATATCTTTATCTATCTATCGCAATCGCATATTTATTATAATCGATGCTGGAATTTCAGAATGACGACTTCAAGATAGAAATGGATATCGGTTTAGACATTGGAAGGGATCAGGATTTTGGCACAGATCCAAACATGACGGTCGACAAACGCAAGGATCGTGTCACCAAGATATATGCTTGCGCTACGATGTGGCACGAAGAGAAAAACGAGATGAATCATTTGATGAGCAGCATCCTGCGACTGGACAAGGATCAGTGCGCGATGCGCGTCACGCAGAAATGTTACAAGGTTCAAATCGCGGATTATTACGAATTGGAAAGTAAGTCGCGTTCATTACATAAATTGGGAAATTGCTTTTAATAATCACAAAGGAAATCACAAAGAAAAAAACAGCCAATTCCATCGAAAACTAAAATCATATGTATTTGGTCCTTTATTTGAAACGACTGACACTCACGAGGGAAAATTCTGATCGAATCTATTCACATTTTTTTATAAAAGAAATTAAAATTACAATTACTAATACACGGGAAATTGCTCTTAATATAATCACAAAGGAAATCACAAAGAAAAAACAGCCAATTCCACCAAAAATCAAAATCCTGTACCTATTCATAAATCGAACTTATTCACATGTTTTTTTATAAAAGAAATTAAAATTACAATTTAATCTTCTTCTATTTTGCAAATATTGTTTTTTTACTGACAAACTCATGCATTTTTCTTCCGCAGCACACATTTTCTTCGACGACGCCTTTTGCTGCATGCACGGTTGCATTGGTTTGTGCAACCACGACGAAAACGAGACGCAGGTCAATCAGTATGTGATAACGTTGGTCGAAACAGTCCAAAGTAATGTGGAGAATTTGCGAATGCCTTATACACCGCCTATTAAATATCCGACGCCTTACGGGGGTCGTCTTGTATGGACGTTACCTGCAAAGACTAAGCTGATTGTTCATTTGAAGGATAAAAATAAGATCAGGCACAGGAAACGATGGAGCCAGGTATTTGAGTGTAGAAATCAATATATACAGGGAGTCCCAGACTTATTGTATCACGTTAATAGAAGATTCTTGAGACGATTTTTTCTCAGCGAAAATGTCCAGGCACCAATAATTTTCGAATTATAAACGATTGAAAATAAAGCTTTTTTTGTAAACTAAGCCTTGTGAAAATAAATTATTAACAAAACTACATTTTTTAGTTAATTTCAGGTAAAGTACTTTAATATAGAATTTTAATTTATGGTTTAGTTACAAAGATACATGATTTCAAAAATTGGGAACATTGAAAAAATGGTGATCTTCCTCGACATTTTCGCTGAAGAAAAATCGTTTTCAAATAACGTTAGGTGTCTCCTATAAACGCATCAGAAGAAGCAAAAGTAGAGTTTCTTTTTCTTAGAGAAAAAAGAAAAATTCATGTAATATTTCAAAAAATTGATGTACGATTCAAGAGATGTCTTGTGTAACTTTTCAAGGTGATGTACATGTATTATCTTTTGGGCTACCGTCTGGTGGGTCTATCGATCGAGATGGATCGTAAAGAGAACATTGCCGAGAACACGTACATTCTCACCCTGGATGGAGACATTGACTTCCGACCTTTCGCTGTCAAAATCCTGGTGGATCTGATGAAAAAGGATAGGGATCTTGGTGCAGCATGCGGTCGAATTCATCCTGTTGGATCAGGTATGTGTAAAAGATGCTGGAACCCTTCAATTAATATCCAATATAGAACGAGACAAAAATACAAGAAGGCGAAACAAATATTTAACTTATTGGGGTAATAGAAGCTCTTTTCAAACAAGTGTTTTTTTTATATATAAAATTTCTAATCTATGCTGAGCATCATCTGAATTTATTTTCCACGCAGGTCCAATAGTTTGGTTCCAAAAGTTCGAATACGCCATCGGTCACTGGCTGCAGAAGTCCACCGAGCACACGATCGGTTGCGTCCTGTGCAGTCCAGGCTGCTTCTCGCTTTTCCGAGCGAAGGCCCTGATGTACGTGATGGCGAAATATGCCACCAAGTCTACTGAAGCTAGACATTACATTCAGTACGATCAAGGCGAGGACCGATGGCTCTGCACGTTGCTTCTTCAAATGGGTTTCCGAGTAAGTTGTTTTAAATAAACTGGAAAAAAGAGGCAATTAATCACAGCATCAGTTTCTAAATGAATCGTCCAAACTAGCCAAAATTTTTGTTTATTAATTAGAAATTACAACGTTTCGACCATATGGTTGTGGTCTTTTTCAAGTGTAAACTGAAAAAATGATACATAATTTTTTAAAAACAATTTAAAAAAGAAACAGTAGTACACATAAAAGAAAAGATTGTGAACAATCTGAGTACATACATTCTTGATGGAAACAATCTTAACTTTGCAATCAACTCAACATATTTGAATTATCAAATTCATTTATATAACTAACTATATAAGTAATTTAGAAACTGATCCTGTGACATGATATACTATTTAAAGAAATCAATTTACTTCTCGTCTTCTCCCTAGGTCGAATACTCGGCGGCGAGCGACGCGTACACTCACGCACCGGAACTCTTTAAGGACTTGTTCATACAACGTCGTAGATGGATTCCCTCCACTGTCGCGAATATATTTGACTTATTGATAACCGCCAAAGTGACGAGAGAAGTGAACAATGATATCTCCTGGCTGTACATCGCTTATCAATGGGCCTTGATGGGTGTGTCTTCATCAGCGTATAACATTAATTATATATTAAGAAATTATTATAACAACTCAACTGGCTTCAATACTTTTTATTAATTAACAATTCATAAAAATGTTAACCGCAGACAATTGTCTTATAATTTTTATGAATTGTTATATAAAAGTTATAACCAGACATAAAAATTATAACCAGACGATTATCTTATAATTTTTATGAATTATTAATTAATAAAGAACATTGAAGCCAGTTGGGTCGTTATAATAATTTCTTAATTTATTCTTCACTGGCGACACGTAAATACTCTGATATTAATTATATATTTTTAAAGTTATATATTGAAATTGATCGTCTTAAGGGAGCACAATCTTGGGACCGGGTACAATATTTCTGATGCTGGTCGGTGCATTTGTTGCTGCCTTTCATATCGATAACTGGACCAGTTTCTGGTACAATCTGATCCCAATCAGCATCTTCATTGGAGTCTGCTTCATCTGCAAGGAACGCATTCAGGTATGTGATTCGAATAATCCCAGCAAACACAGTATATAAATATTATATGCATGTAAGTATTCAGCATGTTACATGTAACATATGTATTAGTTGTAATTTCCCACTCATAGATGTAACATTTTTAATATAACATATATTACATCGTAGTTATATTGTCATTATATCCTAAGACAGCACTGACTTATCGATACATCAATGTGCTATACATACAATGTAATATATGTTACATTAAAAATGTTACATCTATGAGTGAAAAATTACAACTAACATATACATTACATGTAACATGCTTGATTACTTACATCTACATACATAACATTTGTATACCTGTTTGTTGGGATATTTTATCATCCCTAGAGACATATCTAAGAAATTCTTTCAAGATATGACTTTATTAGACTTTATTGTAACGTATAATTGTTAAAGTACCTGTTGATAAAGCATGGTTTTGCGCAGTTATTTGTAGCCCAGGTCATCAGTGCTATGTATGGGCTGGTGATGGTAATCGTCCTGGTGGGAATTATGCTACAAATCGCCGAGGATGGATGGTTGGCACCTAGCAGCCTTCTCTTCTTCATTGTCGCGTGCCAAATGACAATAGCTGGCCTGCTACATCCCCAGGAAGCGCTCTGTCTGCTGTGCGGCATCATCTATTACGTCACGGTGCCGGCCATGTACATGCTGCTGACCATCTTCTCTGTCTTCAACGTACATAACGTCACGTGGGGTACGCGAGATTCGAAGAATGCGAGTGTCGTAAGTGTCCGATGTTTGTTAAACGTTCTTCGAGTTATTCAGAGATGAAAATTATTTAAATATACCTCGAAAAAGGAGGGTTACAGAGGACTACTTCTTCAAGATTTATCGGTTTTTCTCTTCTTTTCTCGTCTAAATTAATTGATATTTTTTTTGCGAATTTTTCTTTCCATGCTTTACTTTCTTTATAGACTTTTTGATAAAATATTCTGAAAAATAATCATACGTTATAAAAATCATTAAAAATGTTATCAAATCAATTAAAAATAATCATATGTTACAATAACGAAAAAAATGAAGAAGCCTCAAGATGAGCAGAAGAAATCTACAGCAATTGGCAATATATCCGAATTCATGAGAAGAACGGGGAACAAGCAAGATGGGAATCAAAAAGGTTCATTTGAATTTTCCTTGGGGATCTTTTTAAATGCGTCTGCTGCATACATTCGGGAATAAGTTATGAAGAGAAGCGGTTGAACGAGATCAACGAGACCTTAGAACAAATCAATAAACAGCAGAATATGATATTAGACAGGTGTGGACTCTTTTACAATCATTAAGAAACTCATCAGTCATCTATAATTATTTATATCTAATTATATCATCTATAATCTATAATTACAAGATGTAAATAGAATCACAAAGATATCTTTTATAAATATTATATAATTATTAATATATATATATATATATATATATATATTATAATAATAAATTATGAAAATATAAATTTTAATTAAATAAAATATCACTAAGAGATTTGAATTGTCCAAATTGACTTACTGATCTTGTAAGACTTAATTATATTGATAAATTACAGACTGCATGCAACAACAAACATGGAAACAAATAGCGTTGTTCAGTCATCTTCCAACGCTAATATATATACCAAACAATATTTTCCAATGGAAGAGATAGTAGAGGAGGAAGTCGGACACGAAGAGAGAGAGCTACAACACATGAGCGAAAAGAGCGATCATGAGAACGAGATCTACAAAGACGTCGACGATGTTGACGACGAAAGCGATGTTCTAACGCAGGTGTCAGGAATGTCTAGCTACGATCGTTCTTCCAGCTTCCTCATTAGTCCTTATTGGCTCCAGGATGAAAGAATGCGAAAGGGCGAGGTGGATTTTCTATCGCATTCCGAGGAAGAATTCTGGAAAACATTGATTGGAAGATATCTGCGACCGATTGAAACCGACGAAGAAACTCAGGTAGAAGTTTGATCTGTTATTTTTATCTCTGTAAAAAAGAAGAATAAGTGAAAATAATTATATAATATAAAATTATATAATGCGAAAAATATGCGAAATTTTCTGTTTCATGATATTGAACAGTAAAAAGAACAATGCTGAAATATTACTAATTATTTGCTATTTTATTGTGTCCTATTTTTTAAATAAATTTTGTTTATAGAATAAAATAACTGAGGAGCTAATGAACTGCCGCGATGCCTATTTATTAAAATTCTTCATGATAAACGCTCTGTTCGTGCTGATAGTATTTCTTATGCAGTTGAATAAAGATATATTGCATTTTCAATGGCCACTGGGGATGAAGTACAATATTACATGCGTTGCGACGAGATTTGAGGTAAATATTTTGATAATAATCATACATATTATTATTGGTTCTCATCAACAATATCACGTATATTTCTTACATCTAATATATCACACAAATCTTAATTTAATAATCTCAATTTTGTATACGATATTAATCGTAATTGTATACAACAATTAAGATTATAGAGCTCAATACAAAAGTACAATAATTTCTAAGCTTCAAATTAATTAATTCCTAATTACTACGCGTCTTATGACATGTATTTTAATTTTTATAGGTGCACTTGACAAAAGAATATTTAAGACTCGAGCCGATCGGATGCCTATTTATTGCCGCATTCATCAGCATCTTGGGCATTCAGTTTTTCGCTATGTTAGTACACCGATTCGGTACATTCACTCATGTGCTCGCTAATACGAAACTTCCTTTCTGGGCCAAGGTAATATATTTTTAAAATAAAGTTTATCTGTAAAAATATTTTTTTTATATATTTTGAAAAAAATTGAACAGATTTTTATGTTTTTTTAAGTCTATTTTCAGAAATACAAAATAGATTTATTTTTACAAGAGAGATGAAAAATATACAAAATTTAATTTTAAATAGAAAATATTTTCTTTCTCTTCTTACAAAAATAGTCATTTCATTTTTCTCTTTCGCTTTTATGTAATTTCTCTTTGCTTTATTAAAAACTAATTATAAAAGATTTACAATATTTTACGAAAATCGAATCATTAAATATTTAATCATTATATAATAAAGAAGAAACTGGAAGAAGGAGGGGTACTTCAAAGATTTTCTGAAGATTAACTGGCGTTAATAAAAATAATAAATATAAATTCTTATATAAAAATAGGTAAAAAATTTTGTTAAGTTTAATTTGATAATTTTTGCCTTTTCCTAGATAAAATCCTGGCTACGTTTCCATGGCCCATATTCTCAGCAAACTTCTTCGGATTTCGAAAAAGATGCTGATAAAATAGCAGAAGGGCTTCAACGCATGGCACAAGAGGATCTGATTTATGAACACAGGCGAAGTACCATGACATCTCCTGGTAGACGAAGAACTATACAGGAATTGACAGATATTTCGCAAGGGTCGTCGAAGCTGATGGGAAACTTTGAAAGGCTGTTTCGACGAAAGCTTCATGATCCGGATGCATCAGGTATAGTTTCTTTTACTCTTATTTCTGTACATTTTTTTTAATTCAAGAATGTAAGCGCTTTCACAAATTAATTATCAAGGACAAATACAAAGTTGATATAAAAGAGAAGACAAAAAAATTTCGAAGAACACAAAAGATTGAAAAGTTTGATATTATTTCACTGCCTTATATATAATACAGTATATATATATATATATACATACATATATATATATATATATATATATATATATATATATACATACATATATATATATATATATATATATATATATATATATATATATACACATACATTGCTATGCTAATGCAATGTCGTCAATTTTCGTCACATTTATTACTTTTATGTTGTTTTTTGCTGAGAACTTTGTTTATTTCGCAGGTTTATCGCGACACATGTCCACACGAATATCACAAAGTGCATTTAGCGCCTTAGAACGAAGACGATCATCCATTCTAGAAGCGAAGAGAAAGACGCAAACTCGTAGACCATATGATATTTATGATGATGCTGATAATTTAAGAAGATCTTCGAACAATGAGACTTTTCAACTGCGACCAAGACTATCGAATTCCAATCAATTTCAATATGATAATCCGGGATTTAAACACGACGAGAATACATGAGACGTGATAAGAATTGATTTTGCTTAGTGATATATAGCGCAGACAGTTTATAATTTTTCCTAGTTCGGTAATTTATGATTACTTTTATAAAATTTTGTGATATTAAAAAATTTTGTAATAATTGACATTCACAAAAATATTTTTCCTCGCATTTTCTCTCGAAGATCAATAAAGAATTCATCGAAATATGCAATAGATTAAAGTTTAAATGGATCAAGAAATATAAAAAAAACCTTCAACTATCCTCGCCGACGTTAATACCTCTTGTGACCTTTGTGTCCTCGAGATCCTGACGATTTGTCACTCTTGGAACTCGGAGGAATGACAATGCGACCGGCGGCAATTTCTTCTCGATCGGCGGACTCCTCGATCTGCTTTTGAGCGTCGAGGAAAAACATGAGATCTCGGATTTGTTCTTTCAAATCGGTGGTCTCGGCTTCTTTCGTCTTCTTCAGTTCGGACAATTCATCCTGCAGCTTCTTATATTTCGTTTGCCACGAAGTCTGATTCAGTTGCAGAGCCTTTCTCAGATCCTTCTCTTCGGTCAATTCCGTCTGCACTTGCGCCAGCTTGTTAGTGGAATGCAGTAAGCGCTTCTCCAGGGTCTGCTTGTCGCGATTAAACGTCGCAAATTGTTTCTGTTAAAATAAGAGACATTGGTGTAATTAAGCTGACAAAGAACAGATAATGTTGTGCTTAGATGATTTTAAAATTAGCTAGATAAAGCTGAGATAAAAATATGTAAATTTATATTAGATAAGATGAAGATTATTTTGTTTTAAATATATCTAGATAAAAGATAAAAATTATATGGCGATTCATCTAGACAAAATTAATTATGTAAACACAGTTATAGAAAAATATAAATTGCAAAAGAGATAAAAATATATGTATTCATATTTTTATTTATAAATTTTTATCTTTTACTACTTAATTCTCCTATTTAAGTATTTTCATGTGCTATGATTCTAAATCAAAATTACCTGAAAATTATTCTAGATAATTTAGTAAAGACAATACTTTTTTCATCTAAGATGGAGATACATTTAGATAATACATATTTTTATGATCTATATAAAAATAAGATAACGCCAAAGTTTCATCTAGATAATCGTCTATATAATTTTATTTAGATAACAGCAAACACTGAGAGCAGATGAGGGAAAAGAAAAAATTGTTCACCATTAACTTGAAACTGATTGTCTACCTTGAACTGCGAGTTTTCCTCGAGCACTTCTCCCAACTTATCCCTCAGCTCGCTGATATCCGCCATGGAACGTTGCTCCAAGCGACTCAGTCTCTCTTCAAAGTACTCCCGTTGTGTTTCCAACTGCGACGTTAGTAAATATGTAAATTCCAGCTGCACAGAGTCGACCTTCTCTTCCACGGCGGCGCCCTCGCTCTTGGTTGCGGGTTGACCACCCTCCACCATCTTACCGTCCTTGTCCTGCAGCAGTCGGTGGACAAAATTATCACCCACGTAATCCCAGACACGATTGTTACCCAGCTGCATCGCGTAGCAGTGGTGTGTCTCCTGGTAATGTTCGAACGCGTGACCCTGGTGATAACGCGAGCAGCCCACATGGCCACAAATCAAACAAATCCACAGTGCATCATTGCTGGTGTCTGCAACTAAAGACGTTCATGTAAAGCGCTGTAACAAGTTTCGATTTCGATAGATTCAAATATTCGAAGAAAATGCAAATAAAATGGAATAAATTTTTAAAGAATTATATATTTGCATCAAGCTTAAAACTCAGCAACCAAATGCTTACCACATTCCATGCAACGACTATCGGCTAATGGCTCGGGTGTTTGTGCGTATCGACAAATCGGACAGGACGTATCGCCCCACTTTACGAGGCAGCTGGAGTGGAAGGTATGGTTGCACAGTATTGTCAGAATTCCGTCCACGCTCTCGTCCATCCTTTCCAGACAAACTGGACACGATGGTAATTCCGTGTGTCCACTCAGAGGCATTCCGTTATCTCCTACTTCGACTCTAGATACGAACACCATGTGACAAACCACATCTGGCTCCAGAGAATTATATGGCGCCCCATTGAAAGTTTCGTAGAACTCGCTCGCTGCGCTCTAAAATGCAAATAGATATTTGTCAAACTATAGTCTCTAATTAATTCTCCACTACTTATTATATATTTGTACAATTTCTAGCAAACATTTTAATTTAATTTTAATTTAATGCTAGTTTAATTTCGTACATCAAGTCGATGAGTTTTCTCTGAAACATCAAAGTATCAAATTTTTATTTACTTACTGATGATCTGAAGGTAATCAGAGCCATGTACAGATTAGGACTGCCATCTCTGAGAATTCTAAAGTGTTGTATGTTCTGATGGCAAGCTGCTGTGAATGTTAAAAGATCGTGGCAAGTCATTGTTGCTGGAACCGACAGAATACAGATGGTATGACTGCGATCCGCTGCACAGCGCATCTCAGTCAATTCACTATGTTAAAAAAATAGAGAAATTAAACAAAAGAATCAACATCTCAAGTTTTTGATATAATTGTTAATACTATATAATTTAGTACAGTAAAAAAAAAGAACTACTCACTCTTCTTTATAAAGATGAAGTATGCCTTTTGTAACTTCGACAAAAGGATTTCCAGAGATAAAACTTATTTGATCCGGGGAGGTGTTAGAAGTAGCACCGCTGAGTTCTCCTGAACCCGCATTATGATTAGAATTTCCAAATGATGTCTCTTCAGAATTGGACCTTGAGGATGAATGCGACTTGCTTGTGCTTTGACTTGACAACAAGCGGGATGGGTTCTCTGTCACATTTGTGTAAGTCTCCACAGAGATATCTCTCGTTTCTCTGCAACCTTTCATTTTCCTCGCAGCCATGGTACCTAATAATAATTTACAGGATGTTATCCGATCAATTGAAAAGGATACTGAATTGAAGATTCTCAAGATACAATTTTGTGAAACCTCGTGATTTTCTTCGTTTAATAAAAACATTTATCTGTAATTTATAATTATCAGACGATATATTAATTAACGGAATATCAATAAAATTAGATTAGAGCAATAATAATAATATAATATATATAAAATAAATATAATATAATATAATAAAATATATTATATATAAAATAAATATAAAATATAATTATATTATATAATAATATAATTTTTGCATAAGAGATCTTGCAATTTGAAAATACGTATACACATGACATGTATATATAATAAAATAATATTAGAAGGTATTGCTATAAATTTTTGTAAATTGTGCAACGGACGTTTACCTTCACTAGTGGCCTCTTCCGATTCCGGATCACAAATCTCGATGCGAATAACGCACAAGGATACCAGGACAGCGGACGAATTCATGCCACATAATTGAATTATGACATGTTATACAAAACATTTCCCATTCTTTGCCTCCTTCCTTCAAGTGTCATCGCCATACTATCTCATCCAAATATTTCGCAGCACACACACATATATGACACACACACAATGACAGATGACACATACCACACTCGGAACAGCTGATTCTCAACGCGTCATCGATGGAGATTGCGCAGAAGTCTGATTTTGAATATTCATAACGGTGTAATAAAATTGCGTTAAATTAATTAATAAAAAATAATATATATATATCCTAAAAAAACATAGACAAAAGATTAATTATCTCTCGATTTAAATAGTGAAAATAAACCATGAGTAATTTTAGTGATCGTCAAATATTGGGTGAGTAACGTATTTTAATTTGCAAAATTATTAGATAAAATATTTCGTTAATAAAATTGATATTTAAAAAAGTGTTTATATATGGCTTTTTAATTGCAACAATAAATGTTAGGTATAAATAATACTTTTTAACAATATCATAAATATTATCTTGTAGATCCTCACAGACATAGTTTTTGTTCTTACAGATATTTCCAATATTTCAACGATCTCTCATAATAGTAGTAGATTTATTGGCAGAATGGATTCGTCGCAATGCTTGTTGGACAATTATTCTAGCATTATAAAAAGTAATAACGATAAGCTCCAAGAAACAGATGCAATTGAGAAAGCGATGAAGTCTTTTACATTGTGCGAGAAAAATGTAAATGAGCACAGAAAAGTCAATATTGTTTATCAGTGCGTGAAGGAAGCATCGTTGAACCACAACAATATTCTATCTGAAAATATAGCAAAAAAATTGCAAATATTGCTCACAAATCATGAACTTGACAAATACATGCATCTTCCTTCATCTACGAATCATATACAAGATAAGCTGAAGCTTTTGGGAATTATTGATTTACCATCGGCTGACTTGAATCCTGATGAAAAATTGGAAATCAAATGCTGTGTCGAGACAATGCTTCGAGAAAAAATACACGATATGATATTAAAGTAAATGTGTTATAATTAAACAATAATCTTATATCAACTTACATACATCAATATTATAAAATCTAATAATACATGTAAATAATTTAATAATAAGACTCTCTGTTTATTTCTACGTTACAGATACAAAGAATTAGGAGGAAATGTCAAAGAGGCATTGAAGAGCGACGAGTGTATTGCAAACAGCCAATTCCTGGAATGTCATGATGTATCAGCAGTAGAATGGAAGAATAAAGTTGAAGAATTAATTTTGCAGTGCAAAAGCGATTGTCTGAAATATACGAAATTGAGCGACAGATGGAACAAGCTGAAGTACGAGGATATGAGCCAAGCAAATTTAGAAAAGGCAGGGCATTTGCTGCTGCAAACGCAAATTGCCGAGTTGCAAGCAAAATTAACAAAGCTTTCGTGCACAATTAAAATGTTTAAGGAGACTCCGACGACTATTGACGCTTTCAAAATGTTAAATCAATTGGTTGAAGAGAAATTAAAGGCAGTTAAAGATGAAATTCGTAAAAAAGAAGAATTAAAGAAACTATATGATAATTTGAAAAACACCGAATACGATGAGATATTGGAGAATTACTTACAGCTTTGTAATGCAATAAAGAAAAAGAAACATATTTTAGATAAGTTAACATAATTTTTTAAATATAAAATTGTGGAATATTTTTTTATAATTAAGAAATATTGTAAAAGTAAATATTTTCCTGCATTTTTATATTTTGTCATCTCTATATTTTATTCACCTTTGATAAATATTCTATATTGTGTAGTTTTTAATTAATAAGTTATTGCGTGCGGTTTGTTAAGAGATCGCGATAAATTATGTTAAAAAAATGATAATATTAAGTTTTCTCTCTTTTCATTTCTTATCAGAAGTTGTTTCGTTTTTCGAAATGATGAGAGGTACACAATTTTTATCGGGAAGCATTCCATGTTCAATGAGAAACATCTCTACATCTGATGAGTAAAAGTCCATTCCCAGGTGATCTGTCATATGTACAAAAGTTCCTAAAACTTGTCCTTTTTTATATACTAACAATGCTGGTAAACCGAATTTTTTGAATTTTTTGCTGAGACCTGCAATTGATCCTAAAAGAGCATAATTTTAAGTAATAAATATATAGGATTCGTTACAATACTTAATTTAAAAAAAATGTTAAGATACATTGTTTTTTCTAAAATTCTTTGACGAAATTTAATAAATTTAAATTTAAATAAAAACAAAAATTTATTGTTGATTTATAATTTTGAAACTTGATAATAAGAGTTTGTCTAAATAATGAAATTAATGAAGGCAATGAAAATATCAATCTTAAAATTACATACCAAGAATTTTACAAAATTTTACATGAGGATATTCTTTAGCAAGAGATATCAAGCATCCATTCATAGCTTCACAGCCAGGTACATTGTCTTCATAAATATGAACAATAATAGTCACTGACTTGTCTTCTTCATCAATGGCTTGCAAGAACTGGTCTGCACTCTCTAAATCAAAAACTTTTCCAAAGTAAAGCTTTTCTGTTTTTGCAAGCATCTCTTGCATTCTCTGTTTTTGATATTCCAATAGGAATTCATCAGACAATAAATTTGCCAGATCTGGATCTGTTTCATTTAGCTTTTCCTTCTCTTCGTCCAGAGCACTGCGGCATGTTAAACTCAGCTTCTTAAATAACTGCAACTTTTCTTTCTCTTGTGATTCTCGCTTTTCTGCTTCTAGTTGCTTATACCTTTGCCAATCCTGTGAAGAATACACTTCAAATTAGCATAAGAGTTATATTTCCTGAATTTAGTATATAAATATTATATATATAAATTATATATAAAGTATGTAAAAATTCAACAATAAAACTTAAATATAATTGTCTAGATAGTATCGTAGTATCTCTTTTTCACAATTAAGGTGCAATTGTATTATAATTATATTATAATTATATAAGTTATACAAGTAATAACTTCGTACCCTTATGACACCTTTCGGTCCTGTATTATTAGAAACCCCATCCCATTCTGCAGGCGCAGCATATTGCGCGTTGTCCTCAGTGCATTTTGCATCATTATATTCTTTCTTATCGGAATCTTCAGAATCATTTTCCTCATCTTCACTAGAGCTGCTGCAATAGTAGTGCAGCTTCTCTCCCAAAATTTTATCCTCCAATGTTGACATAATCTCAGAGTTTTATGTAACAATGGATTATATACCTGGAGAAGAAAATAATAAGAATTTATTAGTTTTTAAATTATTATTCATATAACAAATTAAATATACAGGAAAGATTTAAATATATAATATCTGTAATTTAATCGAAGAAACACATTTTTAAAACACTAAAACTTAAAATAATTAATTATCGACTTGAAGAACCTTGTTGAATATTATGCGAGTGGTTAGATTTTTAATATTGTTTTTACATCAGCAGTAAGTTAATATTTTACTGTGCAATATATATTTATATTTTGCAGAACTTAGAAGGAAAAAATTAAGGAAATCGCTGGTTTATATTATTATTGACGTATTGTTTATGTACACACAGGTACACATACTTGGTTTTTGATTACACTTGTCTAGTAATTTTCAATGTTTCTAGCACTAGATTTTACTCCGTTTGACATTTAGTTCCTCTCGTTCCAATAGGTCGATTAGACGTTCTATTGACCAATCAGAGCAGAGGAATTTTTTGTCTCCTCTGGTCCCCGATTGGTCAATTAAACCATAGTTAAAACTACTAGATTTGCTCAGTTTACTTTCTACATTCGTGTATTCTATGACCGCGTCTTGTGGAAAATTATTCTGCCGCAGTGAAGCGAATAAAAATATGATTTCTTATTCCAGCTGTCAGAGAAGTGTCGCAATTGCATCGTATCAATAATGGCATTTAAATTTTTGTCACAAGCTAAAGGAATAAGAAACATCATTATATTATTTCTCTCACGACCTAGATAAACATATTATTGCGAGTTTATTTTCTAACGATATCTCATCTGAAGAAGATAACGCACATTTGATTGTTGTATATATTTATAATTAAAAATGATTTTTTTTTATTAGACAATACAAGCGCGCGCTATTTATATTATTTTCAATTTTATTTTACATCAATGAAAGTTGCCTATTGATATTTATTTGGATATAACACATAATTAATGTGAATCGAGACAAATATAATCAGCAATTATATTCGCGAGAATGTCTTTTTTACAAAGAGACAATTTTTATTCCTGAAATTTTATTATATCTACATAATTTTAATTCACTAAATTTTTATATTATTATATTATGTACATGTAATTATTCTAATTCACCGAATTTCTATTATATATGTATATGTTTAATATTTTATAATTTTGTTTTATGTTTATAGTTTAATTTTTATAATTTTATATTTATATAAATATAATTTTTATAATAATTATTATTATACGTATTTTACATTTTTTTCTTTCTTTCTATCAAAACGTGTAATTATCTCTTTTTGAATATGGAAAATGAAATATGAAATATAAAAAAGTGCAGCTAAATATATAATTTCGTTTAATTCTCGCAGACTTAATGAGATATTTACTTAGGATCTTTCTCAGGATATGTATAGAGTATATAATGAAATATTCCAGGTAGCAAACTTTACGTCATTAAACGTTAAAATGGGTCAATATGACGTTTAACGACGTCAGTTTCCTACTTGAATATAATGAATTCTCATACCTCGTGCGAATAAAAAGATTGTAATTTTGATATGAATAAAAAAATAAGCAGAATTAATATGTTTATTAGTCTGTGCACCTATTCTTATTCTGACGATAATAATAAAAGCATAATATATACCAAAGTTTCATTTTATTTTCTTATTTTATCTTTAAGCTAATCTCGAACATATAATAATAAACACAATAATTTTTTAAATTAAAATGTCAATTCTTCATTTGTAAAATTGAAGCTATATATATACATTTATACGTAACATAAAAAAATTCTCTTGTCAATCCAAGCGACACTTCTCGCATAAAAAAATATTTAATATGTCAAAGGTTAAATAAATATGTGTATTGGGTCGTTTGAATGAATGAGTTAAGCGATGAATATGTGCATGTGCGTGCTATCTGCTCGACGACATTGCTTTGAACAATGCAGGAAGTGGAAAGGTTAACCCGTGGAGACAATTGTAGGCATATAGTTGCTATCAGCGTCTGGTTAACCCGGAGGTAAATAGGCAGCCGCGAATGTTCCTACTTGTTGCTTAATATGCAGCGCATATGTAGTACTTCTCTGCATTAGGTTCGCTCCGTCTTTATTCAGCGCGAGTTGTTGAGTTCAACTACATACATCGCATCACGTACATATTGTTTAATCCATGAATGCGTAATTTTATCGTTGTTTAAACTTGTGCACTGAAAAAGTCATTTATTTAAAATAAATAATATTTTCCAGGTAGCAAGCTGACGTCATTAAACGTCAAAATGACATCGTTTTGACGTCAGCTTGCTACCTGAGTTATTTGATATGAAAAATATTTATTTGATATAAGAAAATCCGATTTAAAACAAATAAATATTTATTTGTTTTAAATAAATGATTTATTTGGTAGTACTGAACTAAATATGTATTAATTTAGTCATTTTTCAGTGTACTGCATTTTTTTCATTTAAATGGTTTTTTTTTAAAACAAGAGAATTGTTGAAAATTTTTTTTACAGAATAAATTTTTTTTATTTTCCGAAATTAAAATATAAGATAATAAAATAAAATTTATGAAAATAAGTTTGTTTTATAAACTAAATTAATTAATATTGTAAAAGGGACAGTGTGTGCAATTTTTATGAAAAAATTTATTGATATAATTTTATCTCGTTAAGACTGTTTATAATATTAATTTATTAAAAATATGAATTAGCTCTACAATATATATGTAATAATTAACTGAAATTAATAAGAATTAATTAATTGTATACAAAGCTTTTCTCTATGTAAAATAGTCATAATCAATTATATATTATTTTAGTAATTAATTATATTTTTTTTGTTAATTAATTATAATATTATTAATTTTAATTTTTATAATTTTAATTTCAAAATAAAATAAAGAGCAAATCACGGGAATTTTGAATAAACTGTATAGAATATTGTGAGAACATTCTACCTCTAGTCCGGAACATTCAATAATTCTCTTCTCCAATGAAGTTACTACTGATCAACTTTCGACCAACTATGCTGATCGGTTTTGTCGTTCCATAGATAATCATGTTGCGCATTATTCAGTATTTAACGTGCCTGCGATAACGCGTTATCTAAAAATAAAAAAAAGAATTTTTTAAATCGATGGTTTTAACATTCTGTTACGCAACTGCATCATGTCTTCTAATGATAATTGAGTAAAATATTCATATTCTCTGGCCTCTCGAGTGATGCAACATTGATTATTTAGAAAATCACGTGTGCATAAATATTTACAACATTATAAATATACATCTAATAAAAACAGAGTTGGGTAAATTAATGAGTTGCTTATAAAATTAATTTAGTTAAGTTAAAAGTTGCATGAACAAAAAATTAACTCAGTTAAAGTTAAGTTAAGATTAAATTAATTGAAGTTAAATCAAAAATTAATTTTTAAAAATATTATTTATATTAAATTAGAGTCTTGTATTCTCATTAATTCTTTTAAAATTGATAATAACAAATAGCAAAGAAATTGTGATTTTTATATAGAAATATATTTTTTGGTAATTACAATTGATGACAAATGAACATAAAAAATAACTCTAGTTGAAGTTAAAAGTTGTTAATTTTTTAACTTTTAATTAATTAATTAGTTATTTTACCCGATCCTGAATAATATATAATAATAAATCTTATCTTATATACTAATAGAAAAATTTTTAAAATTTCTCTCTTGTTTTGGAATTTAAAAATAAAAATAAATTCAACAGAAGAGTTTCAGTCGAGCAGATAAGACAGACGTCGATTACGAAATGGTGTGAGGAAAAGCGAAGAATGCGTCAATCTCGACCTAAGTGTCATCCACGAAGATCTGCTGGGGTTCCATATTATCATCTGTGTGTGTGTGTGTGTGTGTGTGTATTTACGTGTGACCTCCGATAGCTTATCATTATACAGTCATAAATATATAAGCACAATACGCTGTGTGTAAATATTACGGCACGTTGAATCTGATGCCAATCAGAGCTTCGCAATTGGAAAATGCAAGCTGATCATCATCTGATTCAAGCCAATTCGTTTTTAGCGATGTGAGATCGTTAATTTTGCAAATGTCCTCGCGTATATATTAGTTGATAGTATATATACATGTGTGCGTAAGTAAATGTATGTACACAAGTTAATTAAACGACAGGCTTTCTCTTCTTTTAACGATATTACTTGTATTAATAAGAAGTATAATTGTATAAAAAGTATAATTGTAGTTTTTAAGATTGTAAATCCAGTTTTTCGTAAAATAAATTTGTTAAAAAGAAAACAGAAATCATTAAATAATTTTTTTCATTTATTTATATTATTTATTAATATATTTTTATTAAATACAATTTCGAATTAAACTTCTTAAAATAGTTCTATTAAGTGAAAGAACTAATAAATAAAAAAATTTCTGCTCTTTTTTATATTATTCTCAAAGTACAAATCTCTTGAAAAATTTTCGAAATTTTTGATCAATAATATTTTTAATGTTATTAATATATATCTAATTTATGAATATGATTTTTCTATCTAACTTTTGAGCACGAAAGAAGTAGAGTACTTTTTTATACACAATTTAAGAAAGAATGAATAAGAAATAATATTGTGTAAGTATATTATCTATTTTCTAATATTTATTTTATTGTAACACTTTTTTATCTTATCTAAACAATGCATACCTGAACATTTAGTTCTATATATGTTGTAACTCTTTATGTCTACAGCGTGTGTCAATAGATTATGATCCTAAACGAGAATTAGATGATAAATAATAATTCGAAAATATTGAAATGTAATAATTAAAAAATATATAATGAATACTCGTTTTGACTAACTTATGGTTTAATTTGTTCTGCAGAATAAGAATTTTTATTTGTATTTTAAAAAGCCATAAATGTATATATATATATATATATATTTAAAAGAAAAATTTAAAAAATTTGAAAATTTGATAGAAACTCAACTGTTCCATCTAAAAAGTTCTGAAAAATTTAGATTAGATTAAAATTATACAGAAAAAACTAAAAAGAAAAAAAATTGCAAACTTTTTTCTTCGATAAACAGAAATGAAACATTTAATTAATAATATTGTAAAAAACTAGTCTAATCTGAATTTGCAGAAAATACGAGAGAATGGACGAGTATATTTTTCAAGGCACGTGTCGTCATGCATGTGTATGTCTTCTTTCATGTCTTAACTATATATAATGTTATCTCATGAAAATGCTTGCGTGCATTTCACTTGTGTTCGTTTATTGATGCTGAGGCGAGAAATAATAAGTTAAATGCTTCACAATTGAATCCAGAGAAAATCAGATCGATTCGAGTGTTACTATAAATTTTAAAAGAATTAACAAACAAAATTCTAATTTGATATACAGTTTTTAAAAATTAACTTGATTTAACTTCAGTTAATTTAATCTTAACTTGACTTGAGCTGAATTAATTTTTTGTTCATGCAACTTTTAACTTAACTAAATTTATTTCATAAGAAATTATAATTTTAACTTAATTTAATTTAAAAAAATCATTAACTTACCCTATATATAATTATCTTCACGAAATACAATTGAAGGTATTACAATAACTAATTGAAGCTAATTCTCCAACTTCATTTATCTATTAATTCTGCATATATTATTCAAAAATGAATAAATCATAACTTTTAAAATCCATATATAAATATCTATAATTACACGCAATATATGCGATATTGTTGCATTCGAAGCAAAAATACAATAATAAATCGATACTCCATCTTTGTCTCTGTCCTTCTTCATCTTTGCAAATCATTGATTTGTAATCACAGTCGATGTTGACTAAAATATTACTCCGCCGCGCTAGATCTGGCGCCCCATCGACGTCGAAACGTCATTGTCGGAATAAATAACAATAATTGGACCACTTGGTCCGCAAAGGGTTATCATCTTATGCGCCTTCTCCTTCTGCCCCGTCTGCTTTCTCTGATTATCCTGCGCGCGGATTGGCCGACGTGCTCACGAGTGCCCGAGATTATTGGTCGGCTCATTCGAGAGCCCGCATTTTTTTAATTCACGCGTGAACTTCTCTATAAAACGAGCGCACGAAAGTCACGCCAGCACTATCAGTGTTGTAAGTGTTGCAATATACGGTCGACTGGTCAGTCGCTCTTTCTTTCTCGTACTTTTCAATTTTTTTCAACGAGTGACACTTGTTATTCCAAGTGAAAATGCCATTTCCGGATACCGCCAATGGTTACGACAGTCTTCCGGCTGTCAAACGATCCATCAATAACGACGAGTTCCAAACGAACGCGAAGCATGCGCGAAACACGTAAGTGTCAAATTCGAATTAGTTTCTCTTTCGGAAAATTTCGACATCACTCCGGACGTGAAATACAAGATCGTTCAAAATTATTCGGCCGATTTCAAGTTTCTTTTTTTTATTTTCGTGCATAGTGATGTATTAATTTAGAGGAAAACTGTCCGAGTCTTCTCTTATCTGGTATAAGTGCTCGATAACTTTTCTTATAAGATAAGAAATACAATTTAGATGTATTTGTAATTTTCCAAAATATAGTCGAATTATATTTTGACTATATTTTTGAAATTTACAAATATATTTAAATTTTGTAACCCTGATGCATCAATCATTAGGAAAACTGTTCAAGTCTTCTCTTATCTTAATATAAGTGCTCGATTACTTTTCTTAAATTCTGAGAAGATATTTTACCTTAATTCTCGAGAAGATCCATTTCTTTATCGAGCACATATAAGATAAGAAACAAAATTTAGAGTTTTTTTTTATATATAGCGCTAATCATTATATATTTGTAAATTTCAAAAATATAGTCGAATTATTTTGAGTAACCCTATATGTGCAAAAGAAAGATTTAAAAATGAAGAGAAATAAAAAAATTAACAGACTTGATATTTTTTGTGTAAATTTTTTTCTTATTTTTATTTTTTTTAATTATTTACTTTTTATTACTTTTTATTATTATATAAATTTTTTATGTAAATCTTTGCTGAAAATCAGGTATTTTTGCAACTTTTTAATGTAACGTTTAATATGTAATTGACTATCGAATTAAAATTTCTTAGAGTTTACGCTTGAAATCAATTACAGGTGAAAATTCGTTCAAACAATTTTCGAAACATTATCTCAGGTTTAATAATGTATTTCAATATCACTGAGCAAATTGCGAAAAGAATACATACGGAATGTAACAGAATGCCAAAATATGCGTGCGTTATAAACAATATTTGCCGGATGTTAATGATTACCGATATTGCGAAATTAGTTATGTTAATTGTTTACTTCTCACAAATATCTGACGCAAATCGAACGAATGAAGTATTCCGAGCGCGCCCACTGTAATTCGATGTAATTTCGCTCCGAAACTGGTACAAAACGGTGCGGTTACCTGCTAAACTACCGGGGCACGCTCAAATAGTGGAGGATTTAAGCTAAATGCATAACATAGGCTTCAGGGGTATTACAAATCATGCATCGAAATACGTACGCGCGTATGCAAAATGCACTTCCGGGGATATACGTGGTGTTCAAGCGGAAGTGTCCTATTTTTGGGCCCTTGTAACTAGGTGAAAGAAAAATTACGACTATTTTTTTATCTTTCACATTCTATTTTTTTAATTATTTTTAATAAAGATTTTTTCGTCATATATTTATGTTAAAAAAAATAAAATAAAAATACATATTTGAGAGTTAAATAAATATAAATATAATGAATTGTTTTATTTATGTCTTTGCTTTCTAGTTTTATTATCTTTGCAGATCAGTTATTTATAATCACAGTTTATATTGACACATATTTTATAATTATAGATTGAATAAAAATTACAGAGAAACTTTCAATTATATTAAAGACGCGTTTAAATCATGAAACAGGGAAAGAATGATAGATTAATTGATCGAAAATTATATAAATAACAATATATAAATTTGCAAGCATATACGAATATCATTTTTGTCTGCGATAAAAGTCTTTTAGAGATCCCAATGTCAATTAAGAAATTACAAATGCGCATTAGTGGAGTAAAAAATTGACTTCCAATTTGTCATCGAATTTTTTCCCTGACGTACGTACATTTATTCAAGAGGAAAATTTCATCAGTTACGGATAGATCGATTGTTTCACATTCACATTGAATGACTAATGGATCAATTACAAGTGACACATCGCTACACATGTTTTGTCTGCTATGGTGATACATCAATAAACGAAGGTTAAGAAGTAAAAAAAAAAAAAATATATATATATAGCTTTATTATGTCGCTTTAAAATGATATTCAAGGGCAAGCACAAATGCAACACTTTCCAATTATCAATTTTATTTTAATCTATTTTTTCCGATGCGTTTACACACTGTAAAAAATATGTAAAGTTACATAAATAATAAATGTAAAATTACATGATAAATAATGAAAAGGTAGACATTTCTTATTTTAAGACTTATTTTTGTAAAATTACATAAATAATAAATGTAATTTTACAAAAATATGTAAAATTACACAAATAATAAATGTAAAATTAGATGATAAATATAATGAAAAGGTAAACATTTCTATTATTTATCGTGTAATTTTACACTTATGATTTATGTAATTTTACATATTTTTGTGTAACATATTACATATTTTTTTACAGTGGCAGTGCGAACAAAAACTGATAAATGCATTTTTATCCATATAGGTATTTTTTTACTCTTTAGATATTTCGGTCACACTATATGTCGGAGATTCACGCAAACCTCATCTATCGTGCATGCGTCCATAAACACACACGTGCGAATAAATGTACGCGCAAAATTTCCGCGCACGTCACACACGCGAACATAGTTATCGAATTTACGCAGTATTTGAATTTACTCGCGGTTACACGGCCGTACATGGCTGTTCATAGTTTCGCAAAATGCAGGGAATATTGTGATCAAAAATGTCCCGAGCATATTAGAGGAGATTTGAGGAAGATTTCTTGAAAGCTTCAAATTCCTAAAAATTTTTAAATAATTTCTAGACTTAACGATTTAATATTTGTTTTCGAAAAAAATCAGTAATATTACTATGGTTACAAATTGTGTTAAATTTTTGTTTGTAAAAGAAATTAAAATAAATTTTCAAATTCCAAAAAATCTTCAAATAATTTCTAGACCTAACGATTTAATAATTGAGCCGTTTATTTTGAAAGCTCGTGGAAGCTTTCGAAAAAATTCATAATATTGATATGGTTAAACAAATTGTGTTAAAATTTTTGTTTGTAAAATAAATTAAACCAAATAAATAGCTTAGTTCATGGATTTAAAGGCTGGAATCATCTGAGACATTTGAGGAAGATTTCTTGAAAGCTTCAAATTCCAAAAAATCTTAAGGTAATTTCTAGACCTAACCATTTAATAATTGAGTTGTTTATTTTGAAAAAAATCCATAATATTGTTATAGTTAAACAAATTGTGTTAAAATTTTTGTTTGTAAAAGAAATTAAAATTTCCAAATAAATAGCTCAATTCATAAATTTAAAGGCCGGAGCCATTTAAGAGATTTCTTAAAATCTTTAAATCACAAAAAATCTTAAAATAATTTCTAGACCTAACGATAATAAATGAGCCGTTCATTTTGAAAGCTCGTGTAAGTTTTCGAAAAAATCCATGATATTACTATGGTTAAACAAATTGTGTTAAGATGTTTGTTTGTAGAAACATCAAAATTTCCAAATAAATGTCTCGGTTGATAGATTTAAAGGCCGGAACCATCCACGTGTGTGCTTGCCACATCACATAAGACAATTGTCTGATTCAGAAAAGGCAGACGTTATAAAAAAAGGAAAGAAAGAAAGAAAGAAAGAAGAGAAGGTCATCGCGAGACACGCGAGATACAAGTCGACGTGTAAGTGGCGTGAGAAACTCAAGAAACCGAGGAACCAAGGCTGGAGGATCTCTTTAAAGATTCAAGAGTCTGTGGAAAAATTGGCAGCATCGGAAATCTAACTTAAAAATATATATTGATATCAGTGTTATTATGACATAAAATTTTTTCACGTACTTTTTCAAAATAAGGGTACAATAGAGAGTTGAATAAAAAATTTCACGTCGATTCCTCTTCTTTATTCACCAGAAAAGCAATTTATCGCGCAGATCGTATATTTCGACAATAATAAGAGTTGATAATTATGTCGCTAATTTGTTTGTTAAAAATAAATTTAGCATCAATTGATTTGACGCAATAACCTGCATCGTATTATTCATTTTCTTGTCGCACAATATTCCGTGGTTGTATATTTAGAATGAATGTAGAATCAGAAGTTTATTTAAGAATTTAACATTTTTCTAAGTAATAATTAATAAGCATGAGAGGAGCAGAAATTAAAAATTCAAATTTTTTTTAATTCATGATAAATGATTGTGTGCTCTGTAGTACTCATATTTATGATTTACGCGAGAATTAAAAACAAGATTAGTTGCGTAACATGAGAGAATCAATATCAGTTATTCTATGAAAATTAATAGAGCGTGTATACATATACACGTAATTCTATATGCAGCTGCGAAGCAAACTTTCAATATATATATATACCGATGTTTAATCACAGTCGCTTATAATTTTGAAAGCTTATTTGTAAATCTTGATATTTCCGCACGCATGGCTATTCGACTCTAATTAATTTTCCGAATAAATAAAATCGAAGTAATTGATTTAACGTTTCGCGTATGTGGCAATTCGATTTTATATGCCCCGGTGTTTGCCGAAGCAAAATGTTGAATTAATTTGTTTAATGGCCGAGCTCTAAAAGTTAATTAGGATCGAAATTCCTAATACACAGAGATATCAAGGTTTATAATAGTTGCGGAGTTATAAGCGAATATATAGTTCTATATTAGTATAGAGAGTTTGCATGTTTGAGACTTGTAATTATGCACACCGCTTACTCTATCAATACTCTTAGCTCGACTGATATCGATTCTTGTTGCATAATTGATCTTGTTCTTTAGCTTGTTACAGTGTCGATACAACGCAGCATGACAATCTTATCGCAGAAATTAAAATGAGATTTAAATTTTTAATTGCTACGCGACGTATTATCGTCTAAAAAACGTAATAAAACGTTTGAGATTTTATATAATCTCCGATTGTTTCTCAATGTCGCTGCAAGAAAAAAACTACACGTGCTGTATTGTTCGTGTGTGACGTCATATCAATCAAGATCATTTTACATAAATTGAATTATAATAAAGTTATATATTTTCAACGTTTGTCGAACTGTCAAAATATGATCTAATATATAGCTGCTCTTGATTATTATTTAAATAAAAAATTTAAGATTTTATATAATTTAATTTTTTTCTCAATGTTGATGTAAGAAAAATTGTGTAACGTCATATCAATCAATATAAAAATTATTTTACACAAATTGAATTAATAAAGTTAAATATCTTTGACATTTGTCAAACTGTCAAAATACATACGTGATTTAATAGCTGCTCTTGATTATTATCTATATAAAAAGTTCAAGATTTTATAAAATTTGATTTTTTTTCAATGTTGACGTAAGAAAAAAATAACATGTAGTGCACACATTGTTTGTCATTGTGACGTCACGTCAATCAATATCAAAATTCCAACAAATGGAATTACAATAAAGTTATATATTTTCAACGTTTGTCGAACTGTCAAAATACATGATTTAATAGCTATAGCAATACAAAATAGACAAATAAATCATTGACAGTTGATTCAACTTTACACGTTTTCTTTTTGAGAAAGAAAATGCGTGGAACAAATTTATTACAAAGCAGAGTTAAATAATACACAGAATGTGTATTATTATTATTAAATTATTATTAAATTATTAAATTATTAAATATTGCGTTTCCCAGCAGTCATTATCGAATGACTGTCCTTGCGACGTCTAACTTTTGCAGCCAACGCTGTATCGGAGCAACTAAAACGATCTCTATGGTTGTCATTACCGCAAAGCTTAGGTACGCAATTACATGTAATTATGACAGGACGTTTAATATAGCCGCGCGATAGTTGCAAGCTCCAACGGCGAGCATGACGTCCGCTTAATCAGTACCAATCTGTTGAATACGCTTTAATATGTCTCTGCGATATCGGCATAGAGAGAAGGAAAGCTCCGCCATGTTCTGAGAATTACTTCGCAACCCTCTCGCGTCATCAATAGCTTCCCTCAATACGGGTTGGTTCATAATATTGCGCATCGGGGCAAATGGGAAAGTTGAATAAACAGGGTGTATACTCAAATTTTAGAAATAAATTCTCTGAGAATTTCACGATTTTCCAGGTACTTTTGTTCAAAATTCCCAGGTAACATAAAAGTATTATAAATAATATTTAGAATACAATTTTAAAATAAGTTTATTTAAATAAGGTACTTAATTTTTTAACATAAATGAAAAATTTGTTTAATATAATACTGTAATATAGTATTATATTATAATAAAATATATTTTAATATATACTTTATAAAAACTAATAAATTTTATATTCTTTGAAACTATATTTTAAAATCAAAGGGGCAATTTTTTAAAAAATTTCCAGAGTTTAAATCAAATTCCATGATAATTCCAGGATTTTTCAAGGTAGAACAAAATTCCTTGAAAATTCCAGGATTTCCAGAATTTCCCAGAAAGTATACACCCTGAAAAAATTATACAAATCTGAATTTACGTCTTTGATTTTGAATAATTTTGTTGATCGATTTATTAAGAAAAATAAAGAATTTTTATTTTAATATTTATAGGTATACCTTTGAAATTTTGCAAGAATCAGCGCAGTATCTGCTGGATCGCATCAAGATCAGACCGAAAATAGGAATTATATGCGGCTCAGGAATGGGTTAGTAATATTGCATATTTGTACTCTTAAACGATTCATTCATAATTGAATAATTAATGAGATAATTTTGTTCGATTATAAATTGGCATTAAATTCCATTACTAATTCATTATCAATTCAATGATAAATAATTGTGCACAACTATGTAAAAGATAAAATAATATTTATGAATTTAAGAATTTAATAATTCTTATTCTAAAAAAATTTAATAATTCTTATTCATATATATATATTTTCTTCATTTTTAATATCTACATGATTTACTTATCAAATGTGCTTTTTCAAATTACAAAAAATTGAAAAAAATAAGTGTTTACCAAAAATAGTGGTTTAATCAAAATATTATGAAAGATTCTACTCGGTATTATTTTTGAGCATTATTGTTATAGCATTAAGGGGATGCTGCCGTTGTTCTGTTTTACCGATTTTAAGTTAGGTGAGGTTCACTTTTTATTGAATATACAGATTGAAAAATTCTCTACAATAAAGGTACTGAAAATAAGTTGCGCTGTCCGCCAACTAATATTTGCTGTTTTATGTTCTATGCAAATATACATACATAATTAACCCAATTAATTGTGGAGAAGTATTTTTCAACCTGTATAGCCAATAAAAAGAAAAGCCCTTGAACTCAAAGTCGGTAAAATAGTCATGGTTTTCAGCATCCCCTTAATAATGTTTGTCCATTCACGTTTTCCACTTATATGTGTTCTTTTTTATCTATACATATTCACGCTTATATTTCTATTATTTACAAATTTAAAGTCATCTAATCTTGTCCTGATTCTTACGTATTTTCCTCGCGTTAGAAAGCTTTACTTCGAACGGTTGCGGGACTTTCGGTTTATCCTACCAGTGCTTTGTTTATTCCTAAACAGGATCATATGAGCAAAACGAGTTGTGTCCAGGTTCGCTCGCGGAGTATCTCGTGGACAAGCAATGCTTCCCCTACGAAGAAATCCCGCATTTCCCGATGTCCACGGTAAAGGGCCACACCGGCCAGATGGTCTTCGGGTATCTTCAGGGTGTTCCGGTCATGTGCATGCAAGGGAGGTTTCATTACTACGAGGGCTATCCGCTCTGGAAGGTACGGCTGACCGCGTAGAATCGTCGCATGATAGGGATATGAAGATGCGTGGGAAATGGTTTATTATGTTAATCGAAATGTAACAATGGCTATCCGCAGTGCGCCATGCCGGTGAGGGTGATGAAGCTGGTGGGTGTGACGCATTTAATCGCCACTAACGCGGCCGGCGGTTTAAATCCCACTTACAAAGTTGGCGATATCATGATAGTGAAGGATCATGTGAATATGATGGGTTTTGCAGGCAACAACCCGCTTCAAGGACCAAATGACGACAGGTGGGACACGTAGAATTAAACTTCTTCCCCATCCAGTTTATACATTTTTGATTTCCATCTTTATTAAATTTTTATAATTAGGATTATTATTAGTTGAGATATTTGTATGATCATTTATATTATAATTATTTGTTTTTTTCTAGAAGGGCATATTCATTATATTTATATATTCTTATATTCAGAGTATGGGTTATTATTTATAGAAATTTAAATTTAATTAGTTTAAAAGATTTTATTATTTTATTAGGTCATGTTTATCGATTAATAATTATGTGCGTCAATATATTAAAGATATAAAAAAAATTATCTTAAATAATTATCCTTAATTTTATCATATCGATGAGGAATTTTTCACCTTTATATTTTGTATTCTGCAATATAAAAAAATTATAAATAATAATAATATTACATTTTCCGAATACAAAGGACATTTAAAGCTTTGGGTATCCGTTCATCGACAGAAGGGTTATGCAAAGTTCGAGAGAATCGTATACTATATGCGTGCAGAGGCAAATTTCGAAAGGATTAATCTTCGTAGTCACGATCGCGAGAAAAAAAAAATTAAATTCACTCATCCGGGAAAAGCGAGAACAAATACAACTATTGGCGGGAACGAGCTGGTTAAGAAGTTGTAAGAGGATTCGGAGAAAAAGGTGTCGCGCGATGAAAGAAAGTGAAAGAGATGGTGAGAAGGACTCGGGCCAGGAAAGGGAGAGAGAAAAGAGAAAAAGCAAGGTAGAGGAAACGTAGAAAGACTTTGCTGAGCAAATACGTCAATCAGCTTCTTTATGTCGCCGTGTAAATAGTTCATCAATCCGATTTTCAAGAGGTTATTCCAATGAAATAAATTAATGCCATTCTTTCTATCTATTTCTCCGTCTCTCTCTCTCTTTCTTTCTTGCTCAAGTTCCTCGACAAGTTTTGATAATGGTCCGAAGAATTCAACGGAAGCGGATTCGAATTCGTTAACAATGTAAATTTCTATTATTTTTTTTCTCGGATTTGTTCATATTTTTAACAAGCGAGGAAAGAGATATTTTATATCTCCCGGCTTTTTTCAACGGAGATTGAAAGTTAAATAAAGCGAAAACCGCAATATATCGCTATTCGTGATTTATTGTCGATTCCGTTCTTCAGTATTTTTTAACATATCTTTTTTCTCAGATTCGGACCTCGATTTCCGCCCATGAATAAAGCCTATAACACCGAACTGATGGAGACCGGTAGACAAGTAGCTCAAGAGATGGGCATCGGTGATATTGTGCACAGAGGGGTTTACACGTGTTTAGGCGGTCCTAATTTCGAGACAGTGGCGGAATTGAAGATGCTGAGGATGGTCGGTGTTGATGCAGTTGGTATGTAATTTATTTCTCAATTAATCGAGCCTCTAGAAGGTTTTTTTTGCAAATATAACGTGTCTTCTGACCAATAAAAATATATAAATCTAATAAAAATATATAAATTTTTAATTATTCAGAAAAAATGTGAAGAAAAAATATCTATATATATTTATATACTTTGATATTCAAATCAGACAGTATAAAATTATCGTAAATTTTTATCCTTTCAAGTGACACTCCTTAATCATTAAAAAAACCAATGAATAAATATTATGAGAGATAATCAGACTGATAATTATTACAATATTAACCTGTATGTGTAAAATATATGTTAATCATAAGTAAGTCATTAATTTCCTTTGCAAGCCAACTAATGATTGATTCAATATGTTTCGTAATGTCATATCTCGCTTATCTGCATAACACAGCATGGGAGGCAATTAAATCTGTAGAGTAAATGAGATAACAGAATGATGAAATTAATACTTCTTATAAGATCATTTTTTAAATTGATTGCTCTAATAATTATCACTATGTATATATAAAATAGGAAAATGATTTATGTAATTATGGTCACAAGATACAAAATATAAAATTAATTATTAATTTTGTAATTAAAAAATTAGTGTGTTATTTTCATTTAAAATAATTTTCATTACAAGTGTATATCTTTCTTACATAATAATTTATTATTATCGTATATACGTACACTGAAAAAATAAATTTGTTAACTTGACTAAACAAAATATTTTGTTAATATTGGATGTATAAAAATATTTAAAGTAAATACTACTATATGTTGAATTAACAAAATTAGTAATTGAATTGAAAGGTTTAGTTAACAAATTTATTTTTCAGCGTATGTAGCTTTATCATCATTTAGCAACTTGTTTTCTCGAGTGTTGAGCTATATTTAATAACATTTGATGATTTCCTCACTTCTCTATACGCAAATATTTGTCACGTACGTGCGCAATGTTGTACTTATATATATGATATTTATTACATCATTTAGGCATGTCCACGGTTCACGAGGTTATCACCGCACGTCATTGCGATCTCACCGTATTCGCGTTTAGTTTAATTACGAATCAGTGCGTTATCGATTACGAAGATCATTGCGAGGCGAACCATGAAGAGGTAATGGACGTCGGTAAAGCACGACAACCGCTTCTTCAAGAATTCGTATCCAAGATGGTAATACGTCTCAGGGATCTCTCAAAACAGCCTACGAAATCATTGGATTGAGAACTTTATTCCTCCAGATACGATTAGAGCAATTCCCTTCACTCGATGAGGAATTCTTTCGAATGATTGATTCATTCATTTTCGTATTTAAATAAGAAGTCTTTAAGAGGATGCTGACTATGACTGTTTTACCGACTTTGAGTTCAAAGGCTTTTCTTTTTATTGGCTGTACAGATTGAAAAATCCTTCTCCACAATTCAAGTACTGATAATAATAAACGGGAAGCGCTGTAATTTCGTATAAAAAACAATAACAGTTTTTTATCGGCCTCTTGCATCAGCTCATGACAATACTTATTTACTACAAAAGTACTGCAGTTTCTTTGTGCACAAAATATGGCGCTCCCAATAGAGATGACATGAAAGAATAATACAGAAATAATAAAAATATTATCAATATTTTTATTGCGGAGGATTTTTCAATCTGTATATTCAATAAAAAGTGAACCTAACTTAACTTAAAGTCGGTAAAACAGAACAACGGCAGCATCCCCTTAAGAGGAATAAAAAAATATTGCACAGTAGGAAAATTAGTGTTTTTTCTTTATCAAAAACGGTCCACGTAAACATTTTTGTGTTATATTTAACACATTCATGTTAATTTAACATGTTGCTGTTGTGTTAATTAAACTTTTTTTTTTATTTTATAGTACTATTTTACTAGAACTATTTTTAATTATAGTATAAATATGTTCTGTTTCATTAGTGACAAGATTTATCAGTAAAATTTACAGAAAAAATATTTATTTTATATTTTATAAGTGGGGATGATAAAATCTAAAATTAATAGATTTTTAGTTAATTTTAACATTAAAATTATGTTAAAATTACACAAAATTTATTTTAAAAATTACTTGAAGTTTTGCGTTTATTTTGTGTTAAAATATTAACACAGTATTCGTGTCTCTATTTAACATATCTATATTATGTTAAATTAACACAAAAATTTCTGTGGATGTGATATCTGTTAAATTTTTAACACAAATTTTTCAACTGTGTGACGACGCAGAGAAATTTTTCAGTTATATAAGATCTTGTTTTTCGGTGGAAGTAAAAAATATCCAAGACTCTATAATGTAGATCTAATAAAAAAAAAAATAAAATAATTGACAAATCGTCGAACCTTCCTTATCTCATCTTCATTATCTTGTCGTGTTTTACTTATTTAGTTGGCGCTTGAATTCTACTTATCTGAATTCTAGCTTGATTCAGATCTCAATTGATTCGTTACACGCTTTGAGAGGTCCTCGGATCGAAGAAGAAGAGAAGGATGAGAAACGAAGGAGAAAGAGAATAGAGGAAAGCCTTACAGATGGTTAGTTGGGACTTTCCCTCGATTTTTCACCCTCATTTCGTTATCTTCATCTCATTCTCGCCCTCTTCTATCGTTAATGCATCGTCGTTCGGCTTTAATAAATCTTAAAGCTCGAGGACCATATGGCGCAGGAATAGCGAATTAAATTATGATTCGACAAGCGGAAAAATTGTGCAGTAGTAGAGCAATCGCCAGGAGCATCTCCTTGCTTCTAGGATCTACTAGGGTGTTTTGGGTAGAAAGATTCTTGTTCTGTTAAACGCAGTCACTTTAGAAAAGACATTATTTGTCAAAGTTATTTTTCGAGAACTACCAAAAACACATTATGTATATATAATTTTGAAAATCTGCGCGGCATAAATTTACATGTAAAAAATATGAGAAAACAGATTAACGAAAAAAATGAGACATAAAAGTAATTAAAAAATTCAAATGTAAATAAAAAAGGGATTTAAGTAATGCACATCTATTATTGCGTTCGTTATTTAAATTTTGGGAATTATTTATTGTGTAAAAATTATACATAAATATGACTCTTACTTGGATGACTGTCATCAAAATACGATATTTCTTATTTGGAATATCGTGTGTTTTCCGGTAAAAAAATAGAAATAAAACTTTTGTTTATTATACGAGTAATGAATGAATGTTTATCGCTAGAAGAAAGGTGCAATATAATGAGAATAAAAATTAAAGATGTTAATAGAAAAAGATTAAGAGAGAAGGAGATTATATACTTAAATAAATTTAGATTTACTTAATGTTTTATCAAGTATAAATTAAAATTTTAGAGATTAGATATAAAGAATATTTTTAAAATTACATACAACTACGTATTAAATAATTATACTTTAATTTTAACGATGTTAAAACAAGTTTATGAATATTATATTGTTTAAAATAATTATACAAAATTATTGAGTCGAAATCAATTAAACTAGGAATAATTTCGTACATTTATTGCATTTTGCAGTCAAATCATATTTAATGTAATCATTTGTTTAGATTACTAATTTATTATTTTTACATTTATTGCTAATACAAGTTATTCCTAGTTTAATAATATGTGATGTTTTGAATTTGTAGTTTATTTTTTATTTAGCAAGTTATTATAAGATACTATTATATGTACTTATAAATTTTCTATCTTATATTTTATAAAACTAACTATATTTTCGTCTTTTATAGACGCTATCAAGAAATGAAATTTGTTATTTTTTGTTAATTGAATAAAGTAATCAATGAGAGAGAATTTATATTGCGGTATAAAATGTAGATACATATATAGCATAGAAAATAGGGTTGTATTTTAACTACATAGATTTTAACATTGTATCGACAACGAGTATGTATTGTGTAACTAATTGTTATCTAGATTGAAATCCACGTGTCTGCAGTAAATGCAGAAATGCAAAATTGTGCATTTCGTATAATTGTAAACTGTAGAATTGTATGTGTATATAATTCAATTATCGATTATCTCATTTACTTCCTCGTGTAAATAAAATATTTTTATTGTGTTATAAATAAATGTAGTGAAATATAATTTCATTCTTGTAAAAATTCAATATAATTAAAATGTATATTAAAAAAACTTATATACATATATTTTTAGATACTTAAACAAAATGTTTTAATATGGAAGATGACGAAAGCAACAAAGCTATATATCTATCGTAATTAAATATATACCGAGCGATTATTTTTTAATGCACCTAAATAAAATTTTTTATCTTTACCAATAACATTATCGATATTTCAACACGTTAATCTTCGATATATTAGATATCTATTTAATAGAAATTCTCTTAAAAAATTACCTGTAAAACTGAAGTTTAACGCAAGCATTAAACGTTGAATTTTAGTTGGAAAGTAGATCCGGCCGAAGTCGCGGATGCATTTATGCATTATAAATCAAAATATAAAAATGCAAAAGAAACTGACGTCACCCGCGTCCGGCTGAAACGGGTCCTATCTGACATTCCCCGAAAAATACTTCCGGCGCGAGAGGAAAGCTCCTCCGATATATGCCGTTATAGGGTCGCGTGCGTCGATAAAGCAGAAACCGTCGTTTCGCGCGCCGACTATCGAACCGAACGGCTCGGAGAGCCCGTTCCTCTCGATTATATGACGTCATCGGATGGCGCGTTTCTCCCGTCGTTCGCCATCGCCACCTACGGCAGGTCGGCTGCGGCGGACGGAGCTGCGTTGAATTTCAGCAGTACGTTTGGTGCTGTCGCGGAGTGAGGTTAGGCGATATATATCGTCGTTCTACCCGCGGATTAGCGATATGCTCGCCCCTCGCGAAGCGTCGCGCGTCTTATTTTGCGCCGATCGTTCGACGAATCTCGACGGCATTCGAATTTCGAACGCGCATTTCTATAGGTTCCTCGCGGCGGCGTGAAGTTAGCGGTTTTTTTCGTGCGTTTCGTGGTGCGTGTCTGAAATTCCGATTCATCGTGTATGTACGTCGCTTCTCGCAAGACGTTCCAGTCGACTCGACTAATTAATCGTGTTAAAAAAAAAATAAATAAAATCGTCCGAGAAGTTATTGTGACTTCCAAAGATTGGTGATTATTTTGTTGGAGTAATATCGAGTACCATTTTTTTTTTGAGGAAAAATTGCGCAATTTTATCTACGTGTATCTCAATGTGCAATATACACATATTACGGTTGTTGCGGAGAGTAGATAGAGTTAATTAAACTTAGAATTGAGGATTTAAACGATTCTGATTCCATCGCATATGTAAATTGAGATATGCCAACTTGAAGATTTAAATATCTGAGGTTTCGAAACAAAATTATCAAGACTTCGGGAATGTTAGAAAAATTTAAAAGGTTTAAAGATTCAAAGAATTAAATAATAGAAACGAAAGAGTAGAAAATTCAAATACATAGATTTAGAATTAAATTATTTAAAATCTTGAAGAGAGAGAGAGAAGACATTTAAAATTTCGACAAATTGGCAATCTTAGTATTTCAATATATCCAAAGAGTAAATTTCCCAATTGTCTAAAATTCTAGGGTTCGAGGCATTTTAAAGTTGTGCGGCGAGATAATTAGGCCAAATCACGGATTTAATGACCTGGAAAGTTGAACACTTCAACTTTTATCTTCGAATTCGCAACACCGAAGATTTATTTATCGCGGAGCAGTTAATCAAAAGTGGAACCACCGTTTCACTGGTTCCCCATCATTCCCGTAAGAGAAACCCAATAATCTCGTGAGCGAAAGTGAACTATCGGATCGGAGCAAAACCGGGTCTTCGCGAATTGTAGGTGTTGGTTCGGTGACAACGAACCGGGTTTACACATTCGGGATACTCGGAGTGCTTTTTCGGACCTGGATGTCTTGATCCCTGATGCGTAGCTCGACCCGGGGACACTTCTAGATCAGGCAATCACGTCGGTCTCTCTCGCTGAAAGACGGATAGGGCGATCACGGTCGGACTGATCGCTGAAGGAGCGATAAAACATGTCGAGGCTGCTGAAAGGAGAGCCGACAGGCGGTTATGTGATTGGCTCGTGCGCGGATCGAGGATCGTATTAGCCCGACTGGCAGTGACGCATGTCGTAAGCCACGTGAGATCGACGGAGAAACGACGCGGTGGACACCACGCAGGATTTACGAACAGAGAAAGAGAGAGAGAGAGAGAGTGTGAGAGTGAGAGTGAATAGACAGCCGCGATAGAACTAATACCAGAGCAAAACAGGCCAGGCGACGAGCCTTCCATTACCTACCGGAAGTCATATGCCCATACACGCGCGTAAAACGGTAAATCTATATATATGTATGTGTATATGTGCGTAGGTGCACGGTATTTTGTGTTTTATGCTGCAATTCGGAACTTCGTTTTGATATGGATTTTTAAATTAGTTTTGCAGATATACTTTAACATTTGAAATATTTAATGGGGCAGCCTACCTTGAAGCGTTAAAAATTTTTTTTTTTTTTTTTTCAGATTTCTATTTATTTTTTTTGCACGAATGTGCACGCAGATTTTTATGATATATGTTTCTCGATAATTTCAACTTAAATGTGTGTATTTTAGGGGAAAATATTTTTATCAAAATTAATTTTTGAAAAAGAACACAATATGATTTATAAAGACTTGCTGTGAAATAAAATTATGGGTCATGTCGTGCACAATAATTCTTTCTTTCGAGTTTATAACAATATATCAAATATATATATCTATATATTTTTATTAAAAAATTTGATCTGCAAATTTGTATTCTAGAAGAAAATCTAATGATAAAATATTTTTTTAATGTCAAATTGTTTAGGTTTGCAAGCATTTTATTAATGTCCTCAAAAAGTGTGCAGAAACTCAATTGGTTTCGTTTCCGGGATATATCATACAAACTATAATTTAAAAAAATATATTGTTTACTGTAATATATATTTTGTAGAAAAAAATAAATTAAAGATTTTACATTTGATTTCGTTTAATTATAAATTTGTCGCAGTTATGCTTAATTGCCTATCTCCCAGGCTCCTAACAGTAGATCTTTCATTCCCTCGTGAAACTCGTGTTGAATTGTTAACTTCTTTCAACGAGCTGATTTGAATCTTTAAGTAGATCAGAATGCAAGATGCTTAGAAAAAATCAATGCCGCATTGGCTCTTATGCTCGGAGCATAATTTATTTTTTTATGGGATAGTTATTTTTGGTGCCTATACATATTTTGGGCGTTAAATAAACTAAAAAATTGCTGTTTTATGGATATGAGACACTTTGAATATTGCATATCTATTTTGGGATTGATACTAAATTATTCTTGAAATTGTTCGTCATGACTTGATTTGAGATTATAAATTAAACATAAAATGGAAATTTTTCAATAATACGTTCCAAATAACATCGGACTGATAAATGAGTGAGTGCTGAGATATATTTGTGATAGGAAAGATTATTTTTCTTTCATTAACCATTTCTCTGTTCCGAGTAATTTTTTATGTATTATTATTAGAGTTGCAACGAATATTGGTCTACTATTCGGCAAAATACCAAATAGTTTTAAATGTAAAACTGGAAGAGAATAACATATATTTTTCGAATGGATCCAATTTATTCAATTGAATTTTACTTTGTAAAATGAGTCAATAAATTCCAAATTGTTCTACATGTCGCGGTTTCGATATTTTCGAATTTTTTGATAATATTAAATTTCTGGGATATACAGGATGTATCTATAAATAAGTGCAAACAATTTTAGGAAACGATTCTTTGTCGAAAATTAAGAGGGATTTCTTATAAAAACACATACTTTTATATCCCTCTCTGAGGAGTTACACTTTTCGAAAAACTGAAAAAAATCCATATACTTTTATATGGAATAACTTGATTAAGCTGGAAAAATTACTTAATTATCACTGGTAATTTTTTCCCCTATTTTTTAAAGCGAAAATACATATTAATGTAAACATATATGTAAAATATAAGGTAAAATTACTATTTTTATGCACAAATTATTTACAATTTTACTTTATTATAGAACTTTATTTCATAAGCATCCTTTATTTTATCCATGTAATTTATAAAATTATTTTATAGCATTTATACATTTTGTATGAGCAATACCATGTTGTTTAGTGGAATATTTTAAATCTTGAAAATATACAAATTACGTATAATCTGTAATCTTCCATGGGTAGCAATATTGGTTTTTTTTTCTTTTCGACCCAGCATAATTATGCAATTTTACACAATTCTTTTTTTCAGTGTACCATATATATTCGTTGCATCTCTAATTATTATACACAAAATTTCGATATAAATAGGTAATGATGCGCGACATATCTAGATATGTGAATTTGAGCAAAAACGGATTGAAAATGGTCAATCATTCGTGAAACATGACGGATCCAGTGCGAGTTACGTATAGCTGACATATGCAGGATAAAGAGGATCAGAGAGAGAGAAGAGAGGAAATGATATGCTGGAGCGCGGAAAAGCATGGGGCGAATCATTCGCGCGGCTATAAATATGCCACTGGATAGACGCAGATTGTACCGGATGGCGTAATTGAATTAGAAGCTAGACGAGAGCAGCCGGCTCTCTTCATTCTTTCGGTATATCGGATCGAATACCAAGAGAGGAACAATGCGCGGCGAAAAAGCTGCAAAAATTTAGAGGGAACTCACGTAATAAAATTTGAAAAAAAAAGTTATGCTTGTGATTTTTAAAAATCACGTTTTGGCCACGAATTAAAAAAAAAAAAAAAAAAATAGCAAGTATTTAATCTTTCCGGAAACAACGCGCACGCAACACACATTTATATGTTTGCCACGTTTTTTTTTTTAATGTATATATACTTGCCGTTCTCATATCGTATAATACTCAAAAAATAAAACCCGAAATTCGTTCTTTGTAAATATTTTTTTTCAACAATATCGCACTTCGCTATAAATATGTTGTTGATTTACAATCTTCGCGATTAATCTTTTCACGTGTTATTTTTTTACTACATTAATTATTTTTTCATTAAACATATGTGTGTGTGAAATGTACGTCAAAAGTGGTATCTGACAAGTGAATAAAATTTACATAAACATGAGGTCTGGAAATACTTCCTTTTCGACTCGCATTGTTGGGACTATATTAGCTGCTATGAGAATCGAATAGGCAGCAACGATAACAATACTGAAATATTTGTTTAAGCGTTTCTGTAGGCTTTTTCAAGCTTTTTATTTTAAGAGAATACTAAAGAAATGAATAGTTCTACGATTATAAATACATCGCTCAAGAGAAGAGTGTATTTTTGGTAGATGTATGTTTTATTTTTACAATAAACGTATGTGTTTTCTTCCCACCCAGTGATGTAAAAAAAAATTGAATTATCTTAGTCAGATGCATCAGATATCTGTTAATGATTTTATATACTTTGCGATTTTTTGGGGGAAGCAGAATGTAATAAAAAAATGAATACAATTTAAAAATTATTATATTTTCTTAGATTTATATCGGTCGATTTTGACCGATATTGTCTTTGCATTGTAGGATGAAAAAACTGGAAAGAACTCCGAAATGTTTACACGAACTTTCCTCTTTTTTTCTTCATACATTACCCTCTTTTCCAAAGTTACGTTGTATATTTTAGCGGCGCGTTATAAAGTTTTAATAAAACCGCCCGCGAATATTCTAAGAAGATTCAGGGATTATTTTTGAGAAATAAAATTCAGCTCCGTACAAAATGAAGGTACATACGTGGCAGCATGTATACGGCACTGTCAAGCCCCCTTGCAAAAACCAATAACCTCAGCGTACGTCGGGCACTAGTAGTTTATGACCACCGAGTGCGCGTGCAAGAGAACAAGGGAGAGGAAAAAATAGGACGTGGATTGGTATAGGTAGCTGAAAGTACGAGTGAGAGAAATGAGGGGACACAAGGGAATGTGTCGTTGTTTGGAAAACCTTGGCGGGGACAACACTTAACCCTCGAACTTGTTTCCTGTGTGGACCGATTTTGCGGCCGCCACGTGATCGAAATCACGTTAGGAGAGACCGATAACAATTTACACAAATGAGTTTGAAATCCTTTAAGGGGATGCTGCCGTTGATCTGTTTTACCGATTTTAAGTTAGGTTAGGTTCACTTTTTATTGAATATGCAGATTGAAAAATCCTCGACAATGTAAGTGTTGATAATAGTTTTGTTACTTTTATATTATTCTTTCATGTCATCTTTATTGAGAGCACCATATTTTGTGCACAAATAAACTGCAGAACTTTTGTATTAAATAACTATTGTTATGAGCTGATGCAAGAGGCCGATAAAAAACTGTAATTTTTTAACTTTTATTGTTTTTTATACGAAATTACAGCACTCTCCGTTCATTATTATCAGTACTTAAATTGTGGAGAAGGAGTTTTCAATCTGTATAGCCAATAAAAAGAAAAGCACTTGAACTCAAAATCGGTAAAACAGTCTTGATCAGCATCCCTTTAAGTCCGAGACTCAGATTTCGGATTTAGAAATGCTGCCGCCATATTTCTGGCGATTTTGAAAGGTACAGAGCGGGATTTTTAAATATTCACAACTTTATTTGGGATTGATTAATTGGACGGGCGCGATAAAAAATTTAAATTATAGATTGATGTGTTTTAAAAATAATCTAAAGTGAACGTATCAAATATGGCATGTCAGGCACTAAAGGGTAAATTAAAAAAGAATGTTAGCTGTAGGCTTTGAAGCTTTTATATTTATATCTCATATCCTTTAAGAGGATCTTAAACGTCCTTGAGAAGGCTTATTGGCTATACAAATTGTTTTTTATCTGAAATTAGACCAGGACGGATTTAGCATTGGATAAAGGAATATAAGTGAATATTCCTTTATCCAATGCTAAATCCGCTCTGGTCTTATTTTGTAGGTACAAACTGCCAATAAAAAGAATAAATAGATTTATAGTTTATCTAATCTCATATTTTGTCGATAAAACAGGACAAAAACAACAGACTTCTTAAGGACGTTTAGGATTTCCTTAAGTTCCTCTGCATTTTAATCAATTTTCTTTTGCATCGCAAAAATTGTTAAGATTCCTTTGATCAGCAAATTCTGTCGGATAAGTCAATTTGTAACATACACATTTTTGAAAAATTTTTGTTAAGGGCAGGGATTTAACTAAAGTGTTAAAAAAATTTTGCAAATTTGAAAATTCTGATTTTGTTGAAACTTTACATACGTACAGGGGGGATTATAGATGCATAGATGAAATTTTCAATCGCAAAAAACGATTCTGAAGGGTAAAATCATTTCCCATATGCAGAGCAGCTTTTTACTTTTTTGATATATTGAAAAACGTTTGAGGTATCAAAAACTGTTTCATACACAAAAGTTTTTATGATAAAAGTATCTCTATTTATTCATATTAATAAAATTTTGAAAACAAATTTTAAATATTTCAGAAGAAAATTATTTTTTTCATATGCTGAAAAACAACAGAAAATTTCTAAACTCATCCATTTATTCCCTCTTTCATGTGTGTAAAAAATTTTATTAAAATTATAATTTTTGAATTGTTATTTTTTATATATGTGATTTCGAATTCGGCTTCTATTTTTAAGCAAATAATTTGGACAACTGACAGACTTACGCATTTTTGCACTTCATTTTTCGGTTTGCGGCTTATTTCCGCACGTGCGTAATGTATTTCCCGATTATTCCGACATCCAATCGAAATTTTCCAACTCTTCCATCTAGCTCTATCTCTTTTCTCTCTCTGTGCTATCCTTTGCCGCATGCAGTTGGACATGCAGTTCGGTGCATTCACTTCGTACACGTGTACCCGCTAAAACAACCGCGCGAATGCGGACGTCTGTTTCCGTATTTTAATACTTGGCGCGGATCAATTTAGTTAAAATGATGGTGCCGCGCGACACTTTTTATATTTTTATTCACGCTGCCGAAAGCCTATTTATACGTGATATTCCGCCTAATATTTTATTAATGGTTTTTTTGAATGGATTAAATTTATACAATTGAATTTTACTTTGTAAAATGAGTCGATTAATTCCAAATTGTTCCATATGTCGCGGTTTTAATATTTTTGGATTTTTTCATAATATTAAACTCTTTGGATATACAGGGTGTATCTAAATAAGCGAACAATTTTAGATAATTCTTTGTCGAAAATTAAGAGGGGTTTCTTATATAAGCATCCATGTATTTTTATATGAAAATTAAAATTTGATAAAAACTGAAAAAATTACATAATTATCACTGCAATTTTTTTCCATATTTTTTAAAATAAAAATATGTATTAATGTAAAAATGTAGATAAAATTACTATTTTATGCAACAATTACTTGTATTTTAAATTTAGTATTTTCACTTTATTAGCACTTTTTTTTATACCATTTATCTATTTTATTTCTAACATTATTTTACAGCATTTATACATTTTCTATGTGTAATTCCATGTTTAGTGGAATATTTTTAATCTTGAAAATATAAGAGAATAAATTTCATATAAAATTACATATAATCTGTAATCTTCCATATAAATAGCATGATTATGCTGGATCGAAAAAAAACCCAGCATAATTTCACACAAATATCTTTTTCAGTGAAGAGGGAGGTAAAAATTAAGTTTTTATTTTTTACTCAAATTTCAGACTAATTAAAAAAATTAAATGGAAAATATCCACCAAGTTTCATTTTCTGAAATTTGAGAAAAAAAATTTATAAGAGTATATGTTTATATAGGAAACCCTCCTTCATTTTCGACAAAGAATCATCTAAAATTTTTGCACTTATTTAGATACAGCTTGTGTATTTACAATTGTAAAAATTAGCTTAACAGTTTTTGAATTTTCTTGAATTTTATAATTTTCTTTAAATCAACGTTATTTCTATAAAGAAACGTTATTATCGAATATGATTATCAGATGCACATTTTGGTTGAAACTGACTATTCTATACTCGCTTCTCTTTCCTGGCTACGATCTATCAATGCTTGTCCGCTGCTATTTCGTTGGACCCATTTAACACAGAATCCGGCAATTTCTACGGAGAATCTATTCCGGTATCATTTTGCCCGATAGCCTCGATATGAAATCCTCGCGCTGCGAGGTCGGAGCCGGAATCAATTCATTTCTGTGTCCTTGCGTAAAAGGATCACTTGCGGGCCGAAGCGAGTTTATCGCGCCGAGGGCATCGCGAGACTATAACGACTTAAATTTATATCCGCGTGCGAACTGCCGCAGCTCGTCCGTTCGCTTGTTCGAAACGTTAATATACTTGTTGATTCGCGATAACGACCGTCTCTCGCGCCTAGATGTGTGTTTTCGCATTTTTATCTGGGAATTAAATAATTAAACGCGATCCGATTAGATTTAATCCTTAATTTGTTTCATCAAATACTTGAACGTAATATCGATACAGCATTATACGTATATATTTTTTTTCTATATAATATATATTTTTTCCATATATTTTTCTTTCATGTTATATATATTTTCTATATAATATATAGAATTAATATATTAATATATATATATATATATATATATATATATATATATATATATACGTAGAATTATTTCTATATATATATAATATATATTTTATATTTTTATATAGAAAATATAAATTATATAGAATATACAAAAATATATATTATAAAAAATAAAGATTACAAGGCTCTAAATAAAATCAGGAACACGTTGATCAGATCTCGGGAAAGATGATCTCGTGAGAATGACTGAGAAGAGATAGGGAATCGCGGATTTTCATTTGTAAGAGGCTTTGAATATAATATAAATTGGTCCATAGAAATAATTATCAAATTGTCCCAACTCCATATTGTAAATTTATGATCCTGGAAGGTGCCAGATGTTAATTGGGACATGGTATGTATGTAACACTACCGTGAGCTTGCACCTACACACAGTTATATCATCCATAAAGACATCTCTCGTGTATTTTCACGTAGGCGAAACGTGAAGGCAGAACTAGCGCAGGACTAATTCCCAGAGACAAACACTTTAATTATAACCTTGCCACGTACCTACGTGCCGTCATATCGTCACATTCATTAAACATGGCTGCTGTCGTTCGTCGTACCGTGCTGTTCCATTACTTTTGTGCAGTGGAACTCTATTCAGGAAGCTGGGCGGACTTTTTGCAGAAATCTCATTTGCCAAAAGTGTCATTTTGTATACGTATAGTGTCGTCCAATATAAATCCTATTAAGGGGATGCTGATCAAGACTGTTTTACCGACTTTTAGTTCAAAGGCTTTTCTTTTTATTGGCTATACAGATTGAAAAATTCTTCTCCACAATTCAAGTATTGATAATAATGATCGAGGAGCGTTGTAATTTCGTATAAAAAAGCAATAAAAGTTAAAAAATTACAGTTTTTTATCGGCCTCTTGCATCAGCTCGTGATAATACTTATTTAATACAAAAGTTCTGCAGTTTATTTGTGCACAAAATATGGCGCTCCCAATAGAGATGACATGAAAGAATAATACAGAAATAATAAAAATATTATCAATACTTTTATTGTGGAGGATTTTTCAATCTGTATATTTAATAAAAAGTGAACCTAACCTAACTTAAAGTCGGTAAAACAGAACAATGTCCCCTTAAACTATCATTTTTCTGTCGGATTTCGAAATTAATCGAAGATTTAGCGCGACCGTAAAATCCAAACTACTTTCTTGTAAGTGGAAATAAAGATGGTTCTTGTGTGTGTCTTACAAGCTAGAAATTCGAAAGACTTTGGAATCTCTACCTGTTTCGCCAATTTCCGATCTTTATTCGCAAGCTAATGATCCAATTAATTAATTCCCCTCGCAAACTGTGATTTATGAAAAAAACTTTTGGAATTAATTAAAAGTATATACGAGATGTAGATTATAGTTGGACGGCTTTATCGCAAAAGCGCATGCAATTTTCTTCTAATTATTTGCCTTCCGCTGCGCCCATACGCTATTTCGCGCGTGCAATAGTAACGCCATTGTTGCGGTGCGATACTGGATTGATGGTAATAATGGTGCAGGAGGAAAACAAAGAGAACTCGGCCACGTCACTGCCGACCGCTATCAATTATTTTCAAATTACGAATTTCGCCGGGATATATAGTGATACAATTGATTTATTCACGTCGTCGAGTACCGGCGCCATTTATTTCGCGATGCACTATACATTCATTTTTTGTCATTTTTCCCAAATCTTGCTCCGGAAATTGAATGACGGATATAAGAGAAATCAAAATCACAACATTTACCATTTACTCACTCTCTTCTCCCGTGAAAGCATATCCAGGAGGATTTTTACACATATAAAGCTTATTTATTTTCGATTGCTTTTAACTCGAGAAAAGTTTACGTAAACACATTTATTTTTTCATTTTTATATTCCCTTTATGATTGTAAAAAGTTTGTAAAATATTAATTAATATTGATAGAAAGAATTTTTTCACAGAGAGAATTTTCTCTTTTAGAATTTACCCTGAAAATCATGGTAATAATTATGGGACAATAAAAAATATTAATATTTATCACAATAAGATACAGAATATGTTGGATTAATTTTACTACGTACAGATTAATATTTATTGTCATAAATATTAATTGAAAGAGCTCTTATAAAATTTTTCCAATATTGTTTCACGATTATCGTGATTTTCAGGATAAATTCTAAAAGAAAATTCTCTCTGTGTATTATTATAAATTTTCATTGCGTTATATCCATGGACCATTGATTATCATTGACCTAATCTACAAATATAATTTTCATTACCTTAACAGAGAAAAATGTATAAGAGTTTCTCTGAATAATATTTTTACCACAATAGAAGATATTAATATCTATCACAGTAAGATATAAAATACGTTCGATAAATTTCTTCCAAGACTATATAATATTCTCTCCCCATGTATATAAATAAAAATTGCATTATTAAGAAGGGAAAAGGAGAGGAGAAATTAATAAGCACGAAATTGTGGGTTTGTTACAGCGTACGGCTTGCGAAGAAATCGAAATGGTGGAGTTGTGCGGCAGCGGCCAGGCTTCATCGGCCATGGGGGTGATGGGGATCGGCTCGATGGTGTCCGCGGCGACCTCGTCATCCTCTTCGTCGACCACCACGACCACGGGGGCCTCGTCCTCGGCGTCGGGACGCGCCGGGGTCCTCGAGACCCAAGTGCGCGGTCAGTGGTATCGCGTATTCGTCTCTCTCGAGGACGATTATCTCAGTATCTCGCTCGACGAGAGCTGCGAGACCGGCAACAACACCCTGAACAACGGCAATATCAATAACAACAACGTGGACAGTCTGAACGACCCGGACGTGCCGGACTCGGTCGCCAATCAGAAGCGAATAGTCCGCGTGGTGAAGAGCGACAACAATGGCCTCGGGATCTCGATTAAGGGCGGGAAGGAGAACAAAATGCCTATCCTCATCTCGAAGATCTTCAAAGGCATGGCCGCGGACGCCACCGAGCAGCTTTACGTCGGCGACGCCATTTTGGCGGTGAACGGCGAGGATTTGCGCGAAGCCACGCACGACGAGGCGGTGAAGGCGCTCAAGAGAGCCGGCAAGGTCGTCGAACTGGAAGGTAAGTGCTTCCGCCCCATTGTTATCCTCGTTTCGATACACGGCCAACAAAATGTAATCCGGATCTCGTATACATATATCGATATACAAGGTGTACTAAACAAAGATATACGAAGCACGCTATCAGATGCAAGACAAGAAACTAAATCGAAAAGTCCTGAGCCATTTTTTAATCTGAGCTCTATTTTTGACGCTATAACTTGTTAAAGTTGACCAATTAGCGCGTGGCTACAATGGAAAAGTACGCCTACTAAGGCGGCGCTTACGCTGTTTTTCGTTGTAGCCGCGCGTTGATTGGTAAACTTTAATCATTTATAGCGTCGAAAATAGAGCTCGGATTAAAAAATGGCTCAGGACTTTTCGATTTAGTTTCTTGCCCTGCATCTGATGGCGTGCTTCGTATATCTTTGTTTAGTTACACCCTGTATATTGGAAAATGTGTACGAAAGACACTAATTTCGCTTGTAGGATAACTCTTCGCAGGGAAGTTTTAAGGATCCCTGTTTCTCAGAAGATAAATGTACTAAATGACACGCAAAACGTACTCTGACGTATGCAATATTAAATTCCGCGTCTTTATTTGCACTCTATTTTGCGCCGTTTGTCATCCCTCGCGTACCGGAAAAAGGTTCGAGAGAAAGAGAACTATATATAGAGAGAAGGAAGGGTGTTATACACTCTCTTGTGAACGCTATTCAAGGCTTTTAGCTGGATTGGTGCATCGAATGTGTGCAGCCGGCTAGAAAAAGTCGACTATACTTCTTTTTTTATATTCGGTACAAGGGTCACTGTTCCATGTCCTTTGCGCCGGAAATCAAGAAGTCTGCAAGATGCATCGAGAAAATTGTAGTTTTAAGACTATATATACTGCAAAAGGACTATGATATCAGATGGGATTGAGAGTGCAGTGTATTTCCTCGCTAATGGAAGTATCACAAAAAAATACACCATCCTTTTCACACTTTGTACTTTATTGTTTATTACGTCGATTTGCGATCTGTGTTCTTAATCACTGAAAAAAGATGGACAAAAAGCGTCATGAAGTTTATAAACAGATATACCGTTTGTCACTTTACGCGCTTTTTTCCTCTACGCTTTTTCGCTGTATATATTATCGCTTTATCGTCCTCGTCTGCGAGAGGGTATCGTTAGTGGTGTTTTTTTTTTCAATTCTGGTGCGAGATCACGCGCTTTTCTGCATTTAACGTATATTAGGATGAACAATCGGCGAGTTGCGTCATCGCGTGTCCCGGGGCTCTTCGGAAAGGCGATCATCGTCGTACTTTGCCCTTGCAATTGCACGCGCATCGTTATTTTCTCGCGTCTGAAAAGTTAGAAAACGCCGCGACGATTGTTACCGGGCTATTTTCAATTCAATCCCTCTCTTTCTTCTCGACCTTGCGCGAAAAGGACGCGACAAAAGGAATTCCACCTCGGGACGCAATAGGGTGTGCTGATGGTGGCGTATATATATGTATGTATGTAGATGTACGCACCCCGATCGAAAGAACCATTTACCTTGGTGCAGCAAATAACGAAGTGCTTTCAATCTCGCGCTGAATCTTGAATCGCTTCTATGAAGAGGCACTTTTCGCTCCCCCGATTTTATGCGCGGAGTGTTTAATGAGAAATACTTGGGATGTTCTGTGGAACTTATTTGTGCTGCAAAAGCTTATTAAAGATTGGCGAAAAGGCTCGATATTGTTATAGCGAGCTAATTAATAAGCAACATTTTAGTTTTAATACTTATCAGAAAAATATCCTGAGAAATTCTGGAAAATCAGGAAAGATTTTAAGCGAGAAATGTTACAGAGTGATCATTTTTTTTTCAACATGTATATATATAAATTATTGAGCGTGTGCTGAAAAATTGTTTTAACTTCGCAATTCTGTTGACTGAATTAAATAATAAAGAAGGAAAGTTTTCATAAAAATGGATACAGCACTGGAAAACTTTGACCGAATTATTATTAAAATAGAATCGACTTTAAATTGAATTTCAAAAGGATCCACAAACAAAATTTGTCTATTAGATTATTTAGTAGACATTCTATTTCCACGCGAATTATCACTAAAAATATCGGCTATTCAAAGATTAAAAAAAAGTGTGCGTTTATTGTATATATTTGTAATAACGATGCACAAAGCAAACATGTTAATAATTTTAATCGATTAAATACGATTATTTAATATACAAGTATGATTCATTTTCATGTGAATTGTCATAAAAAATATCGGTTATTTAAGGATTGAAAAAATGTGCGTTCTGTATATTTTTAATAACGATGGCAATGCAAATAGGTTAATAATTTCAATCTGTTGAATATACTATTACAGGATGATTAATTTCTACGCAAATTATCACTAAAAATTTCGATAATACAAGGATTAAAAAAATATGCATCTTCCTGTATATTCACACTGAAAAAAATTTAACTTGACTAAACCTTTTAACGAAATATTATCTTGTTAAAATATTTAAATTAAATATATAACATAAATCTGAAACGTATATATTTGATATGTCAATTAACAAAATAGTAATTTAGTTGAAAGGTTCAGTTGAGTTAACAAATTTTTTTTCAGTGTATAAAAATGACAGACAATGCAAATATGTTAATATATAATTTTAATCGATAAAATATGATTATTAATTGTTTATTAAACAAAAAAAATATTTTAACAATTCTGAAGATTTGATTGTCAATTAAAATGGGATTTTTCTGACTTGTATTTTTATTTTTTACCCTTTTACAATTTTTCCAAAGTTTACTCCGAAGTTGTATCGAAAGCAATTATTGCAAAAAAATTAAAACCTTGAAAATTATAACATTGAATTTTTGCATAATACACACGCAGGATGATATATTAATTTTACTAGCATCTGAATTATTTATTAAACGAAAAAATAATATTAAAAAATTCTAAAAACTTGTAGTATACAGGATGACTCGTTTTCACGCAAATACCACCGAAAATTTCGATTATTCAAGAATGAAAAAAAAACTGTACATTTAGTAATGCAAATTTTCTGTTAATAATTTCAATTCGGTCGAACAACCAATTTGTCTAATTCAAGTAGCAGTTAAGTAGGAGATTAGGTCGCGCGATTACGCGAAATTCGTAGGTAGGCGCGAAAGTCACGATGATGCTCTCGCCGATAGGATCCTCAAATATAGCGAGTGCCCGACTTTGCGTGACTTTTCCGCAACGGTTATCTATTTGCCGCTCGATAATCTTTGTGTCGGATCTGAGGAAATTCTGTCTGTGAGATATCGCGTGTCCTTGATTATGGATCACCGCGAACGAGTCGTTTAAGCGAGGGTGTGTCGTGTGGCCGGGTGTAATCGTTCTGCATACATATATGAAAGGATATTACGTGCGGCAGAACTGCGTACGAGACGAAAAATATATATCTATGCATCTATATTTTACGTATAGATTGCTATAATAGCCACTTTTTTCTCTCGTTCGTGACGTCCTTGTTTTAAAACATTAAATAATGGCGCGTACGTGTCAGAGCCGGAAGTACTGACGTTTTCGCATTCCCGATTAAATCTACGCACGCAAGATTTCGATATGGACACATGGGAGAGACAGATCTTCGTTTTATTTTTTTTTCTCTTTTTTTCAATAATTGCTTTTGATACAACTTCGGGGTAAACTTTGGGAAAATTGTAAAAAGGTAGAAAATATATACACAATAAATAGAAAATAAATACAAGACATAGAAAAAATTCCATTTTAAATGACAGTTAAATTTTTAGATTTTTTTATTACTACTTTTTTGTTTAATAAATAATTTAGGTGCTAATAAAATTAATATATTATCCTGTGTGTATTATACAAAAATTTAATGGTATAATTTTTATACAACTTCGGGGTAAACTTTGGAAAAATTGTAAAAAGGATAGAAAATAAAGATACAAGATAGAAAAAATCCCATTTTAATTGTCAGTCAAATCTTCAGAATTTTGAAAATATTTTTTTCGTTTAATAAATAATGAATAAAATCGATGTATCATCTTGCGCGTATATTTGTGCAAAAATTCAATATTATAATTTTCGAGAGAGTTAAAATGTCATTAGAATTGTAATCTTGACATGTGAGAGACACGAAAAGAGAGAAAGAGAGTTAAAGGTTGAGAGGGCGAGAGAAAGAGGAGGGAGAGAAAGGATGAGCAGATTGCTTGGCGTGTTGAACGAAAGGAATTCCAGTTTGTAAGATTTAAGATGCAATTTCCTTGACGACGTCGCACGTCATTCGTTACGCAGTATTCTTCAGGGAACAATGCTAGCCGAAAATTACGCATTCCAATTACTAAAACGCGTCAAATCGAGGAAGTTACCCGACGACTTTTTGAGGTTAAATTCAATCCTAATCCAAATTATAGCAAAGCGCCCCGCAGCGTTACGTGCACTTTTATTTAAAAATAAAATATTCGGGGCTTAAAAATTCAACGCGAGTAGAACATTATTAATTAATTTTTTTATAATATTAAGATAATGTATTAGATGTAAATTTGCGACCACCATTAGTGGCGTGAACTATCATAAATGGCCGTCGCGAATTTACATTTAACACATTACTTTATTATTATTAAAAAAATTAATTAATAATGTTTCAGTGATCACATGAGATTTTGATGTCAAGGCACTTATTTGTAGACATAAGGAATATAAATCTATTCTTTCTTGACTTTTCATAGTTACACCGCACATAATAATCATGCCGGAATTTATAACATTCTTCGATCATATTCCTTGATGAAAGCATAGCTTTTGTATAATCACAGAGTGTGTCTAACTGCAACAACAACATCTTTAGCATTAAAAAAATTAATTTTTACACTTAAAACTGTTGTTGTATATTTGCAACGGCCATGTTTGTTTTGCTTCAGTAGCGCCTCTCTTACCGCGGTGGACGTTTCTTTCACTAATTATATAAAATATTTTATCAAGGAATATAGAAGTATAAAAAATGAAATCACAGAGAGTCTG